TTCAAAATAAAAACCTTGCAAAATTTTTAAAAGTTCGAAAATACACTAAGTTATGTTAAGATAGTGAAAACGAGTAGAAGGAATGTTTATTTTAATGATAAAGTCTCGGAGCTCCATTCATACGGGCGCAAACATTTTCTCCGCCAGCGTAAATTAACTGCAATTTTAACAGAAATTAAAGGCAATGGACTCTGTATCATTTATTGCGAGTCTGTATATTAACAAGCACCCTTTACCTCCGTTCATGGTATAATTTATTTTAAGCCAATAAATTTAATGCAATATGTATCAATACTTGCGAGCACCAGGAAGTAGATACGTTTGCCTACTGTGTCAATTATATACAAAATTACTTACATGAACTGGTACTAGTATGATACAGAGGTTAAAAAACATAACATTATGACTAATGTGTGATTTTAATACAAATTAAGACATACCAGTTTAAACTAAATAAAACACTCATGATTTCTTAATTATAGACTCATGTTTTTGGGAGTGTTACTGTAATAAAATATATCTCCTTCAGCCTTTATTTTATATTGACACGGTCTTCCCATATACATTTTTTGTACGGGGCAATTGGTGTGGCCTTACATGGAATTTAAATAAATAACTTAAACTCATTTTCTTCAACCTTTCTGCTCGATGTTACGTCATTTTATTTTGACACTGTTTATATTTTAAAACGCAGTATTGGAGTGTATCATCACTACATTGACATGCAATACGACATATTATATTCCCCTTATTTACACAAATATGCAAATTAAACATACCGTATTTTGGATTCAATTGATAAATACACAATTTTTTGCGCGTTTCAACCAATCAAAAGTCGTCTGCTCACAGACCGCGAAGTTGAATAAATTCCCCTAACCTAAAAAACAGACACGTTCAACCGCAAGATTGATAATCTATAAACATTTCTTAGAAAAACGCCGGGTTATAGTTTAATTAATTAGAAACAAGCCTTTTCATGTTTATAAATTAAATATACATTTTTTCTATACAAAGTCCGGCCCTAAACTTTCCATAATTTTTTCCAACGAAGAATGGATTAGAAATCATTCATAAACGTACAACTGCCTTGTCTAATTCAACACTTTTCATACTACCTGCATTAAGATTTTAATGCAATATCTCAGATAATAGGCCTAGTAAATAATTTATTGTCAAACATTCAAATTGATAAAACATATTTGTATAATAGGTGATTTTATCAATGAAATCATTTAAACTAAACCTGTGTTAAGGGATTTAATATAAAGTCGTAATTTATAAGCGTAAAGAACTCTCTTAAGAATTTCAGGAATATAAGCAACAATTTATAAATTTAATCAATTACTAAATGGGGTAAAAGTTTTACACGTGGAAATATTGAAATATTGATCAATAACGCACAAATATACCATTCAAACATTTCATTAATGTTAAACACTTTATATAAAGTATTGTTAATGGCCAAGTCAACAAAAAATATAATCGAATTCTTAAACAAACAAAGTGACGTGGTTTTTCTTCTAGAACCAAGGCCGAAAAGTCTATTTTGTACTAGAGGTCAAAAAATAGAACCATTACTTAAGAAACTTATATTCTCGTGCATAAAGCTATATATCTGATGCAATAATTATTGTTGGAAATGTACCTCCAAAATGCTTGTATGAAATAAATATGGTAATTTATTGCCTTAAAAGCGAAAGGCGCATGCACAAAATCATCACAAAACGGATAAAACCCTACTTGAAATACTAGTAGCAAAATAATATTTTGTTCCGGAACATTTTATTCTGTTTACGTACATTATTCATGTGTATTTAATGACACATTGTATGTAACAACTTTTTCGGGAATCAACCATATAGTAATGGAACCTATATAATTTTACTGTTGATAAATTTTATCAAAATATTTCATATGATAATAGATTTATACCCTTTTATATACTTAAGAATGTTACTAGAGGAAGAAACGTAAGGGTTCGTTCTGATATGTACGAAAGACCGGCGGAGGGCATTTCAATTAACCTCACGAATTCCAGATTTCAACATCATAAATTCACGATTTCAATTTCATTAAGTTGAAATCGTGAATTCGTGAAGTGGAACTGTGAATTCATGAAGTTGAAACCTTGAATTCGTGAAGAAGAAATCGTGAATTGGTGAAGTGGAAATCGTGAATTCGTGAAGTGGAAATCGTGAATTCATGAAGTTGAAACCTTAAATTCGTGAAGTAAAAATCGTGAACTGGTGTAGTTAAATTCGTGAAATTGAGACGGTACATTCATCGTGAATTCGCAAAGATGAAATCGTCACTTCATAAAGTTAAAATTGTGAATTCATGAAGTTGAAATCGTGAACTAATGAATTCCGTATGTTGAAAACGTGAATTCATGAAGTTAAAATTGTGAATTCACGAAGATGAAATCGGAAATTCATTAAGTTGAAATGTCCCCACCGGACTTTCGTAGATATGTTTTACAATATGCGACTGCTCGTGTTAATTTCTTTCATATAACTATATATGTCACACCGAAAATGATTAGCATTTGCCGCCAGTTTAATTTAGAGCTAGGCCAGCGTCCATACCGATGCAGTCTAACAATGCTCTATACTCGTTGGCTGGCTAGCTTGATATCCCTAAGAATGAAAATAGACAATTACTGGTCAAGTACATTTAATTAATTCGGCAGGTTAAGGGTAAGGGTCATTTGATGCAGATGATAAGGTTGAATAAGGCAAATAAATAATAATGTTAATATTTTCCGAGGAAATGACAATAAACAACACTAGTCAAAAAATTTTGACGTGTTAAAGCTAGATTCTGAGAGATTGCTCTGGAGAGCGCAGCATCTCAACGCACGATTAGTCACGTGAAATAGGAACAGTGCCCGATGGTTATCTGAGGACTATATTGCGATCATTACTAAATGTGTACATGTATATCCAGAAGAAACGCTTGATTAGTAATTAGAATTAAATAAAATTGAAACTAATCTGGAAAAAATGTACATTACGGAGTGGAAAATTTTATGTAAATAGCCGGCCTGCTTTTGTTTGACAGTCCCAAAGCGGAAACAATAATTTTATATCAGTTTTACTTTGCTATAAGATCTAAATCAACATAACGACCACCGCTATTCATAAAAAGAACGAAGAAACAAAACGCACAAGTTAAATAACGTTTATTTTAATGGAAAGCAGAGAGAATATGATACATGTATGAATCGAACGAGACAAACAACACAAGCATGCACGTATATGATCCACTAGACAACAATAAAGTTTACACATAAACAGAGCTCTTTATACAAATCGCCTTCCTTTAATATGTACCACTGTTTTTATTTACATATTCAACAACACTCTTACAATAAAATGTCCACTAAATTACGTATTAAAGCTGTATGAGTAAAAAAAATTTTGAAGAAAATAAAAAAAAATCATGAAAATTATCGTGTATCTAGAGGAATGCTGCTTTAAAATAAAATAGTCCATATGGAAACAACATGGATATCGACAAGTCATTTAACACATATATAACTCGGGCTATCTTTGAAAGTTTCTGCAACAAATAATTTTAACGGAGAAAGAAAACGTACGTACTTTATCTGATATAAGATTAAAGAAATAGGATAATCTGAAGGAGATGCAATGTGTTTATGCAGAGACTTATATTACAGATATAGCTCTGTGGTTTATGTGATATGTTCTTACATTTATCTTAAAATGTGCGTGTACATTTATGTAATTATATGAGATCGCTTTGCACTAAACACGAATGCTTTAATTAAGCATTTTAATATACATGTAATGGTCAATTAGTCTTAATAAAAAAGAGAAACAAAACATATCTGTTCAGATTGCGTTGTATGTCCTACAAAAACTAGCACGGGCCCCACAGATACACCCATAGTTTGTTATAGGTGATAATGTTTTAATAAACTTTATAGAATAGACAGAAATGGAGAAGGGGTGTCTCCAATACAGAGACCTAATTAATAACTTTAAATATATGTGACCGGGAGACCAGGTCTTTCAAATCATTTCATATTTGAATAAGACAAATAATGTCACGTGACTACAATATCTCTGTAATCGTGCTAAAACTGGGTTGATTGTTTATCTATGTTTTCCCTTCTTTGTTCCGATATTTTGATATAAAATGTATATCAACATCTGACCTCTTTTTATTGTGAACTTATATGACGTTGTATCAAATGTTTAATGTCACTGACTGTTTGAGTTCTGGTTTACTTTTCTAAATAGTTCAAATTTTAAAAATAGATCTAATTCCATAGAAACTAAAAAGATCTAATTCCGTAGAAACTAAAAATAGATAAAATATAGATCTTGGATGAGACTGATGCAACATTGCTGTAAACTGCGTTCTTAAGTTAAGCTACTATATAGCATGATGTAAATGATTTTACGCGGATGAATATTCTCCCATAACAAAATGCAGTTAGATTAAACGGCTCCCTAAACGGCCTGGTTTTTGGTGACATTCAGTTACCTTATCATAACAGCTGAGCTGAACCGCTCTTTACGTGTTGAAAAAAAAATGTGGTATTGCACCATTTACATAGCTAATGGGGGGAACAGTGAAAGAGAAGGGTGACAAAAAGACACTGACAAATTGTCATGGTCATTACGGTTGACATTACGATTTATAATAGTCCTACAACTTGAGATAAATACCTATCAAAGTAGAAGAATGTGAAGGTTTTTTTTATAACATAGATATACTGTACAAAATGACCATAACTTTTACACCACTAAAACGTACTTGTCTTTTAATAGCAGCCAATGGTGCCCTCAATTTGACTTAAGTTATATACTCAAGTTATTTCTTCGTTAATATAGATAGGGGCTGACTTAAATCAGACTGTGGGGTCCTTAACTAAGAAATTAGTATTGAAATAGTTATTTTAGTCTTTAATGAATTTATTCATACAATTATCCTTTTATGTAGGGGACATAAATATAATCAAAGCATGGTAACTTGTAACGATTCTTTTTTAATGCAAAGAGATCATTACAAAGTGTACAAAATAAAACATATCTTAAAAACATGCAAGTACATATTCTAATAAAGTTATCATTGTGTGTACAAAACTTCCAGCTAAAATTCGTATTGCATTCACACTGGATTTCTTCAAATTCTTGGTCCATTAAACATGCTTGATCCGTTACGTCATCATATTCATTGATAAACATATGAACAATTTCAATAAATACTGTTAACAATAATTCTATGCCATGACAATATTTTAAATGAAATAGAAATGCTATTTTTCTGTTGCCAAGTTTTATGTAAAGTACATGCAAACTACATAGAGAACATTGTTGAGATGTATAAATATGTATAAAGAAGTATAAAATATTATGACTATAGAAAGGGTCTACACTAATACAAAACAAGTCTGCATATGATTCACAACAGTAAGTAGGTGGGATGCATTTTATGATAAAATGTGATAAAAGTTCAATGTCACTAATGAAAGTTTTATATGTCCAACAGTTTGGGTCATCTACTGAGAATTTCTTCAAAGTTCTCTGGTAAAGATGCTCCAACATTGATAAACAAGCTTTTCAGCACTGTTAGTTCTTTGGATAACAAGTCAACCTTCTTCTGAAGTCTGTCGTTTTCTGATGTAAGTTGTTGAACTCTAGTCTCGGTGACAGTTTGCTTTATTTTGGCTTTTTCACGACTTTTACGCACAGCTACGTTGTTCCTGGCTCGTTTTTCGTAGTACTCAGCTGTGTCTTTCTTTGGTTCCCTTTTTCTTGGTCGTATAGGTCCGCCGGCCGATGGTTTGCGGCCTGGTTTCCTGCACTCGTAGACGATTGGTGTCTTTGGTGTACTAGCACGGGAACTATCTAAAGATGAATAGTCGTCGTCTTCAGCCCCAACAGTGACGTCCTGCTGGTTGCAGGCAGTGAGATCCAAGTCCTCGGACTTGATCGTCAGAATCTGCCTGCCGTCACTGCCGCTGGTTGTACTTGAAACCTCCTCAGAATTAGTCATGCAGATGTTTTGCACTGGTTCAGGCACAAACTGGAAAAAGAAGAGAGAATGTTCGTTTTAATAATCGTATAATTCAATTATTAAATGGATTATTTCTTAAAATCTTGAAAATATCAAACACAAAATAATTCAGAATATTATGAACATTTGATGTGTTATATTATGAAAAAAATACAATAAATCTATTTAATTAATCCTTAAACTATAAACGTTTAATAATTCAACTCAAACACAAATATCGATTGATAAAATTGTTTGTGTACTAGATAATAACTTTAAGTCACGTGCTGTTCTATAAATAGACTTGTTTTGACAACCTATGTAAATAATCGTCAATATTTAACCAATGTCATAATGTGAAACATTCTAAAATCGATATAACTTTAATATAAGTGAAAGCAAGATATTTACCTTGGATATATCCAAGAAATTGTTTTGATTGCCCAGTGGATAGTTGGAGGTGTGGCCCTCGACAAGGTCAAGGTCACTTGCAGGAAATATGTTATCCAAGTTTATCGGTCCCTCTTCGTTCTCCAGAGCTGGGATCGCAGTATTTATTAAATCCTGTAAATCTACCACGTTTTCAAGTGATGGATCAAGATTAAGAGCGTGTTGGCTCTCTTCTGTGAATGTAAACACTGGCTTAAATAAGTCCTTTTTAAAAATTATGTCCGGTTCACCCTCTTCATACATGCGCGGTGATTCCATCACTGGAGAAGATGATTCTTGGGTCCTGCTTGATTGGCATGTTGAATCTATTAAAGAGTCAGCAAAAACAAAATTTAAATTCTCCAGACCTGCGGTTTCTAGATCCCTAAATAAAGAATACAGTTTCGTAGCTTATTTAGCTCCGTGATTGTATTTTTAGTGTTTATCGTTCAAAGACGAATTTCGCAATGATTGTGAAAGTAGTGAGGGGCATATTTATACACTCTTAATCAAAGTGACTACGTCACATATTCATACGCTAATAGCTCTATATTTAGATTTCATATTGGCAATGTACTTACAATCCTTTAATGAATAAAATATAGCAAATAAATATAATTGAATTTGAAAATTTCTTTACTTTTACTTTTTACCCCAAGATAAACAATTAAAACGGTGGATATTCCAAGAACTATTTTTCAGTATTAGTCCTATGACGTCAATCGGAGGAAAGCCTTACTAAATTTAGCATATGAGGTAATAGAAATTTACTGATGTTACTATTATTAGACTTTAGTAATTGGCACATGCGACTGGTTTGACGTCATATCGATCACCTCCAAGTAGGTCAGAATCTATGACTTAGTTTTAGACTTCAAATAGTATTGACCAATTTTTTACTAAAACTGACATGGGAATCGCTTTTAATTAATTAACTTCTAAAAATAAACTTACGATGAAACGATATCGTCTGACTCAAGTAGCCCAAATCATATGGTTTAATGGAGATTTCAGGTATATCGTGAATCACAGGCGTGTAGCTGGACTATTCGTTTGGATGTTTCACCAATTGAAATTGTTTTTTTTTTCAAAAGTCTTTCAGAAGTTAGATTTCACTTAACAAATATTTGTTTTTTCGTTTTCTTGGGATTTACATAATTATTTTCTTTGTATAAATTATATTACAGTATGCACATATATAGATAATAATAGAAAGACATGTAAGCCTACAGTAGAGCTATATATTATGAAAGATTTTTAAAAATATTATAGTTCATTGATTGATATATATAACTTTGATTACTTGCCAACTCTACAATTTTAATTCGCCCGAAACGTATGTTTATACACCTTTATACACTTACTATGCATATATACCAGTAATTGTCAAGCTAGAAGTAGAGGCTTACAGTCCTGTCACCCATAATTAAGAAGTATATATATATATATATATATATATATATATATATATATATATATATATATATATATATTATATATATATATATATATATTTGAGACCATACTTGTGGGGTGTATATTTAATGTGGGGCATACATAAGGCCTCGCAACTCTGGCATGTTTAAAACGATGTATGGGGCGTAGGCTACCCTTCTAACATAGTGCCCGTAGGCCGGTTTTAGTAGTAAATGATATATGTCCCACAAATGTATATATTTATTATGGGGTTTTATGTTATTAGTCAATATGTTTTCACCTATGGTAAAATCAAATATATAGTTTATATATATAAATTAGTACCCCTTAGTTCTGTTGTATGGAAATGTTCATTATAGGCCTATATAGTGGCGTATATAAAAACTGACTGCATGAAATAATGCCACTCAACTCGGTCTTATATATGGGCCCCCGTAAGTGAAAATATGTGTGAATTTATATATATATATAATATATATATATATATATATATATATATATATATATATATATATATATATATATATATATATATATATATATATATATATATATATATATATAAGTATTAATTATTGTAAAAAAAGCACTGACATTGATCAATTAATAAAACTTAAGTGGGTGGCTGTTGCTGCTGTTGAGATCTTTAGCCAGGGTCTTTCATATGGAGAAAGGTCCTACTTTAGCAAATCGTTGTGTCAGAGGGTTTGTCCACAAATACTTTGTAAGTTCACGTTTCTCGTATATTCATAACTTTTCAATTTTGTTTATTCTGATCACACTCGCTTTCATATTATCATATGCTAGTAAGTCATGTAACCAAGATAACCGGAAATGGCTTACCTTAAAATAAGATGATTTTCATGTTATATGTACAGATAGGCACAAATGCAATGCATGTCATATTCACCAAGTGGAATGTGCAATTTCATATTAAAATTAAATTAATTAATTTATCCTAAAAAAACAGTACATTTAACGTAGTTTTTTCTTTTTCTTTTTTAACTAGCCACATTTGAAGAACAATCACTCCCCCCCCCCCAATTTAAATAAATAAAACAAACAAAAAATAAACAAATAACATAAAAGAGACTTAGATCTATAAATATTAATTAGTTCTACGTAAATTATTATGACGAAACACGTATCATTAGCGGTCAAAGGGACATAAATGCCGCAGAGAAAACAGAAAGTATGTGGTATTTCGGTTGCCTCCCGTTGAAAAAGTAGACAGACATTTCATAATTTAGACGGTTCACACCAAGACGGTTCACACCAAGACGTTTCACTCCCTTTTATACCAAAATTATTTTGATACTTATGATATACTGAAATAAACCTAAAATATTGAATTAAATTAAACTAAAATATACCATAAAATTTAATAAAAATAAATTAAAAAGGGGGATTTCACTTTTTTGTCAATGACTTAAAACTCAGTACTTTAAGTCCTATAATTTCAGTTATCTTATCTTCTTTATTGTTGTTTTGAAATAAGGTGTTTTTTTTTCTATTTTTAATCCATATGTGCAATTATCACATTATTTCACTTAAAGAAAAACTATTTTTGATTAAAATAACACTGTAATATAACTAACTATTTGATCTTTTGTAAACATGGACTCAATAGGCTGCCTATTTTAAGGCAATTTTAATTTAAAGCAGAACAATCTTGTGTCAATAATTAACTTCGAGTAATGTGTTTTTTGTTGTTAATTTTAAACATGGGATAAAAAATGTTAAATTATTTAATGCCAGTACAGTACTTTTGCGATATATGTCAAAAAATTTAATGGCCATTGAAATCAGAAATAACTTTAAATTAGATTAGAAGCATTGGGACTTTTATTCAATATTTGTCATGTATAATCATTTTTATGTGACTAAAATTCATTATTATATAAACAAAACTTATGGAGAAGTTTCTGTGTTTAAATTGGCTGTTGTCAAAAAATATTTTAATGGTCCAATAAACCACTGATTAGTAAACTGTTGATGCTTAAGTGCAGTGTTTATACAACTGATTTAATAGTGGTGTCAAACTGTTAGTTGATTGTCTCAGTGTTTATTCAACTAATTTAGGCGATGAGATAACACCACAATTACTTTAAGTCTGTTTAATGGCTACTGTTTAAAAATTGATGAAGAAAATAATTTTAAAAGATAATTTATTTTATACACGTGTTTCGCATTTCATTGTTTAAGAGTTAGACTTACAAAAAAAAAAATAATCATTATATAGTCAATATATTTAATCTATTGATATTTTTTATTATTTGAATAATATTAATTACTTTACTGGTAGTGATTTCAATATTTAAACTGATACTTATAATATGTCTTTGTTGTTCTTTCTATGTTATTCTATTTTTTTTTAATTTACTATAAATAGAATTTCCTTATGTTGTTACACGTATAATAAAAGTGCTATTTCAGTAATTTGTCTTTCATTTATACCTCTTATCACTCAACCCATAATTAAATGAGTAATCTTCTAATAATTCGTATTAAATCAACAAAATGAAACATTAAATTGAATTTCCTTTTTACTCTGTTTGATATTAATGAAATTAAAATTTGTTAACTTTCCTAGTAAACATCTCTAAAAATTGGGAGTGAAACGTACATACAATTGACAGAATGGGAGTGAAACGTCTAGTTGTGAACCGTATTGGGAGTGAAACGTCTCAATAATGAAAGGTCTTGGGAGTGAAATGTCTGACATTCCGTTGAAAAGGGAATTTGAAGATGGAAAATTTATTTTCGCTTTAATTGTTTTGTTTTCTTACATTTTTTTCAATGTAAAATCCATAAATATTTTCAAAATTGGTTCATTTAATCAATTATCTGTAATAATAAAAAAAAAACAACAACAAAATATAGTCAGTGCGGTGCAAGTCTGGATCTAAATTAATCGCGAGCTTATGATTGGTAGATATTCATGACGTTATTCTTGGTTCCCATATTTTCGTGTTTAGGCATTAATAGTAAAGAGCCACGCTGGTACACAATTAATTGCGTCAGGAAATAAATCGATCGTCGACATAAATCTCAGGATATTTTAGTTCTTTTTTCAAAGGTAATGTATCATAACTTCTATTTGCAGGTGTGCATATTGTCTATTAATATGTAAACAAAGTGAAGTGAAAGACTTAACTTCAATTTGTGCCTCCTTTGAACGCTGTCGATGAAAGTTTCAACTTAGGATTTTAGTAATGTTGACGGAAACAAACCAAAACAGGAATATTTGGCTGTGTTGTCAGTGAATTTTCTTCAAAATGTATTGAAATAAGAAGTCATAAGATAATGTATTTACCTTTCTGTGATGGGGTCTCCTCTTCTTGGTACTAAAGGGCTAGTGTGATAAACTAACTTATAATAATAAACGAATTTTCACGATTTCACCACTATTGCGCAATACTGGATTACCATTCTGATTCAATGATTGGTATTCCATTTTAGTTGCATCAGCATTTTGAATAGAAATGTGTTTCGTATTTATATCATTAGCTGGAAATGAACAGTTTCACTTTATAATAAATATTTAGCAGGTTGATTAAGACTCAGAAATTTAAATTGTTTTCAAACAACTTAAAACAATTATAAATTGTATCAGTTGATTGAAAGTAAACTGGTTAGTATTTCACTTATTTGTGTGAAGTTGAACTGTTGATAAGTGAAAAATGAATTTATTGTTAAAATACTATAAAAAGTACATTTAGATAGGAATGTTCACACTGATTGGACACATATATATTATATATTGTTGCTTACAAAGTTTTTTTTTTACCTTCAGGTTCATGTCTGCATCAAGATAGCAAGAGTTTAATTACGAGACAGCTGATGAAAATGCCAATGAAGAAACCTTTCCCAACAAGTGAGAGTTCAGATGATTCAGATGAATTTGTACCCAATGCTAAAAGAGCCAAGATTGAAAAATCAGGTGATGAGTACTCATTGAGAAGGGAGAGGAACAATATTGCTGTCCGTAAAAGTCGTGAAAAGAGCCGTGCTAAAGCCAAGGAAACTCTGGCACAAGTCGACAAATTGCGACAGGAGAATGAGATGCTAGAGCAGAAGGTCACTATTCTGTCAAAGGAATTAAGTGTTTTAAAAGATTTATTTCTGGCGCATGCTGGGAACGTTGGTGAAGTTACTTGTCCATCACCACCGCCAACAACTGTGACGGTGCAGGTTACAGCATCAGCTGATCATCAATACTCGGTGAAGTCGGAGCACGAGAATTGACTCAGGGAGTTTAGAAGGATGTTAGAACTTATAATGTACATTGTGTTAGACAGACTCTTCATCCTTCTCCGAAGTTTTGTGTATATTGTGATCATGGTCAACCATTCAGAAAGAGGATATCCAACAAAACTGTCTGTTATGAATTATAAAGAAGGTTTCAGTTAGCAATATTAAGAATTATTATTGTTCATACCAAAACTGTGTTTACATCATACAATTAAGTCATGACCAATCATCTAATGTTATGATACTATTCTAGGAAATAATCCCGGTTATATTGAACATGGACACATTTTCTTCACACAGACAGCTAATTAATGTTTTGTTGTTGTATCATGTACATTTTATTTAGAAAATTAAAAAAATCTTTTAAATATCCGTTTTTATGAATATGGCTCCAAATATTTCATTTGAGACATTTCAGATGAATTGTTGCATGGCAGAATCAGATGTTTGAGACAGGTTATTGGCATGGGACCAAGCCCTACCCCCAAGGGACATGGTACCACCCCTAGGACCCTCAATACTACCCAAATATTTTTCAACCGATTCAGAAAACATAATGATACAAAATCAATCAATACTTACAAAAAATATTTTATTGATACTATTAACTTGGTATCAGTGAACATACATCATTACATGTAGTAATATATTTTTGGTTAAAATTGATTGATTTTGTATTGACATGTATTTTGAATGAGTTGAAGTATATTTTGGTAGTATGCTGATAACCTATGATGTTTAACACAGATTTTACCTATGTATGCTTGCCATTAAGCCCTCTTGTGTACGAAAAAAAACATAATGCTGAACTGTCTTAATTGCATTGTGTTGTGATATTTTCTCAATCAGTCTACAAATTAATTATTAAGCTTTAGTCAGCTTGGCAAATGAAATGGCTAGTAGAATTTAAGCCAGGCCTGTAAAATTCTCCAAAAACTGACTGGTCCGAGAACAATAAGCAATTAAACCAACTAAGCTTCTGAAAATGAAATGACGGAATTTCAAACAGAGCAACTAATTTATCCTCGAATCAGGAAGTAAAATTACAAAATAACTGTGTAGGTTATTATTCTTAATCTTACTTCCCACTTTAAAATGTTTAATATTTTGGGCTTGTGAAAACTTGATTGGAGAAGTAAATATTGCCAACCACTGGCCCAAATAGTTGGTGGTTTTCCTTTCCTAAATTATTTGATTGACTTAATTATTTATAGAAGAGAATGAATTTACATGTAGCAACAATGCTTTAGATTGAATAGAAATTCCAGTCCTATGTGATGTAGGAAGCTATAAGCATATAAAGTACTCATTCTCTAGAATTTGTTCCTGGAATCAACCAGTATTGAACAAGTAGGGCAAAGTTTCTTTCAGCTGGAAACAACAGCTTGCTATATTATGATGACTATTCTGACATATGAAACCACCCAGCCATGCCTCCACTTAAGTATTACTAAATTTTTACTGAAAAATTAATTCTTAAAAACAAAAAAATTGAAGATTACCTGGCTATCATAACTCAGTGGCAACTTTCCTATCTCTTAGTTTGCCATTACACCATTCAATTTACAATCTAGGCATTTTCACTCTTTCACCAGGGGTGGAGAAATGAGCCCATTTCCAATGCAAAATAGCCTCCTTTTTTCTTCCCCAACTTCAAAAAATAACAACTTGCTCGGATGAGTTCAAAAATGGGTCATCTGGGATCACAGCAGCAAAAAATAGAAAAACCTTGTTAACACTCTAGTGGTCACAATTTTGACTCAATTGTCATCAAACTTGGTCAGGAAACTTGTCTAGAAATTGCTCGGATTATTTCGAACATGGGTCATCTCGGATGAAAAACTATGTCACAGGAGCTAAAAATAGAAAAATCTTGTTAACACTTTAGTGGCTACTGTTTTGATCCAAGTATCCTGTAAATTGGTCTGAAAGTTTGTTTTGATAATTTCTAGGTCAAGTTTGAATATGGGTCACCTGGGTAAAAAACTAGGTCACACTGCTCAAATATGGAAAAACCTTTTCACATTTTCGACTCAATTATCATCAAACTTGGTCAGGATGCTTGTCTAGGATATTGCACGGATGAGTTTGAAATCACATGTGAAACTAGGTCACCGGAGCTAAAAATAGAAAAATCTTGTTAACACTCTAGTTGCTACTGTTTTGATCCAAGTATCCTGGAAATTGGTCTGAAAGTTTGTTTTGATGATTTCTAGGTCAAGTTTGAATATGGGTCACCTGGGTAAAAAACTAGGTCACACTGCTCAAATATGGATAATCCTTGTTAACACTGTAGTGGTCACATTTTTGACTCACCCGTCATGAAACTTGGTCAGAATGCTTGTCTTAAGGTAATTGTTCGGATGAGTTTGATGGGTCAGATGAGGGAGCTAGGGCCATCATGGCCCTCTTTTTTTTTTAATTTCCCAATTACCCATAAAGGTCGGATAATCTTTTCCCAAATCATGCAAGGGACCTCTTCCCAAAATAGCTGGAAACCTGACAGTATTAATGTTATTCAAATAGGAAAGATAATGCACTAAACAGATTAGAAAAGAATGCTTTAAGCTTTTCTTATGGGCACAAGGTCACCAACATTTCTGAATATAATAATCTCGTTGAAAACCTACATGTTTAGAAAACAAGAAGACCATCTGCCCAAAAGCGCTCTCCTGAAGACAAAGTGGTAAAGCGTTTTTAACAGTTCAATTTTTTTGTTTGTTTGTTTGTTTTTGGGTTTTACGTCACATCGACACAGTATAGGTCATATCGCGACGTTCCAGCTTTACTGGTGGAGGAAGACCTCAGGTGCCCTTCCGTGCATTATTTCAGGCACAAACGGGTACCTGAGTAGAACAACCGACGTTCCGTAAGCTAGCTGGATAGCTTCCTCACATGAAAGAATCTAAAGTCCTGGTCGGGATTCAAACCCACAGAGGTGAGGGGCAAGTGGTTTGAAGTCAACGACCTTAACCACTCGGCCACAGATGCCCCTAAAAACCTACATGTATCTTGACAGAAGAAATTTGACCTTCAATTTGTCACTTTGTGACAGGTTAGCTTAAAACAATTGACACCAAACTTATTCATCAAATGAACACAATACTGGTCACAAAATTTCAAAAAAAGTTTTTCTAGATTGCCAGCATCCTACTTTCACTTAACCATGAGGTCACAATCTGTTATGTAAAGTACCAAGAGTATCCGCATTATGATATCTATCTTTTTAAATTCTTTACACATGGCTTCCATTAGTGGACGCTTTGGAGTCATTTGTTCCTTGATTTTGGCTTGTGACTCCAAAAATATGCTTTTCCTTCTTTGCCTATATAATGTGACTTACAATCTCAATTTGTAGTCTTTTGAAATCTAATGAAAGCCCTGTTTATACAATTAAACAATCTATTATTGAATTTACCATTCAATTTCATTAACATGAAAATATATTGCAATCAAAATAGTTATTCTGGATGAAATCTTGATAAAAAAAAACTTGATGTCAGTTAAGCAAAGCAAAGGGGGATCACTGTTACGGAGTTTATAAAATAGCTGGAGATATAACAAACTCACAGTCCGGGAATATTACTTTTGACTGTTCCTACAAAGGTTAGGGCTAAAAGGTTGAGGTCCAAACTTAAGCAGGCATAGGTGGGTTGTTCAGACTAGTTAAAATATTTCAATATACGGTAGTCTTCATTATGTTTTGTTAAACAAAAGAACAAACCCTGCATTCTTTTTCAAATAGTTTCCCTTTATTTTTGTCAAGATAATTACCAGTTCAATCATAAAAACATGAAATAATATGATAATCTAGTGAATATAATAGAACTTTAAAATCTGTTCATAACTTATTACCTATTGTGAATTACCTATTGTGAATTGTTTAGTAAACACTATTTAGTACGCAATGGTCATAAGCATAAAATAAATACATTTAGTTATCATTATTCATTACATTTTATCTGGCGTAGTAAAGATAAAGGCTGATGGAAATGTTTGAAGCAGTAACTATTTTTTAACACTCTTCAGGATACTACTGTACATCAAGACTTCGATCTATAGTTATCTGAATTTATCTATAACGTAATGAGCACTGACATAGCATACACATAAACCGATCAGCATTACTATTCCCTATCTGGAAGAAAGTAAAAGAGAAATAGAGAATATCAAATGAGTTTAATACTTAATATGAGCCAGTTAAATAAAATTATATTATGCAAGCCTCTGTCAAGCGTAATATTGTTTTATTCCGGCCTGTTTTATTCAACAGGTTTCAATAAAATTAGTATTGAATCTACACAAATATAATATTCTATTGATCACATTGGCAAAATAAGAACAGTTTATAGCAAAAAAGAATCACTTTTTCATTGACACGCATATAGTGTAACAGTCACATTTAGCACGTCTTTATGCTACATTTATCTTGCAATACTGTTTTTACGCAAAACCAGCACAAGTGTGTGATAAATAAACATTTAGAATCATCTTCAAACACTATTAATGCTGAAAATATTAAAACATTCTGTTGTGAAACTTGTGTCTCTTACAATTGGAACGCCATCTATAGGCAAATGGTCAAATATCAAACTGATTCAAACAAGTAAGCTAGTCATCCAAATATTTCCAATATGATTTTCTAAGCACTTTGTCATTTATTCTCATTCGTTGCCATGATGGAGTGTCTTTGGGTATCGTGTACACATTGCGATATTTCCCCGGGTTTTGGTCGTGGTTTAATGGGTTGCCATGCGCGGGTTTTTCCGAATATTTTCCCCCCAATTTTTTTTTAAAATCTCTATACAACCCCTGTCCCTGCAAAAAATGCCCCATTAAAGTTGTATTTTTAAAAAGGTTTAAAAAGATAATATTTAGTTGTGATAGCAAAAAATAACTTTAAGTGCAGGGTTTTTCCCAGTTTTTTAAGAACATGACCCATACCCATGGAATTGGGAATTCAGCAATGTTCTGTTAAAATTTGGAAAAAATGCATGACTTTAATTTTGCAGTGATGCAAATGAATGCAAAAAAGCACTGTCTAGGATGGCATCCCTAAGCATTTAAACACCATAACAGTGAAGAAGCCCTTATTTTTAAGATTTTAGAATTTGTTATTCATTATTTTTGTTTTGTAACTTGCAATTGGGATTTTTTTCCTGTGAATTGGGAAAATAATATACTATTTTCAATTGGGAATATGACCAAATATCGGCTATAAAATAAGCCAAAAATAATCCCTGAGTTGACATAATGCCCATCCAAATCTCGGACCAAATGTACATGGTCAGTGAACAGGTAAAATTCAAAATAACTTTACATTTTGCCGTTAAATTTAATACATGCATTTTACTATATAAAAAGATAGTCAATTGTCCATTTGATCAACAGAAATTCCAATTAATATTGTTCAGAATGTGTTGTTAACATTCAAAAGAGTGGGGCAGTCTCTATCATAAACATAAACATTTTTTATTACCAATTATTTGTCAATCAATCTTTTGATATACATGTATATTACTAATTAAATTCAACAGCAAAATAATAAGCAGTATGTCACTTCAACATCTAACCACATGGTTGAAAGTAAGATATTTGAAAAATCCTGTATTTAGCTATTTTTCAATTTTGTGTAACCTAATGTTGTATTTTTCTTGACTAGGTACCATTCACAAAGTCACAAAATTTCTTCATTTTTATTTCAATCACTCATTAATATAATTTACTACAGTAACTTTTTAAGAATGAAAAAAAAAAAACTTTAAAAGAAAGGAAAAAAAATTGAACTTTAAATTAAACTTTAGATATCAAATATTTGTTTATATCTGTAGAAGATGATCCCTCAATCAGGATATTTAATTTTAGTATAAATTTTGCTTTATGCCTTGATAACTTGAATATTAATGTTTCATTAAATTTTCACACTACAGGCCTTTTAACCCATTCATTTCAGAACGAACATATTTTTTTAATGCATTTTCCCGGTAAAAAAAATTTTTTAAAACTTTCAAAAAAATCAAAAAAAAAAATTTATGGAAAAATAAAAACAAATTTTTTTAAAGGCCCAAAAAAAAATTAAAAATTTTATTTTTTAAAAAAGGGAAATAAAATTTATAAGTTTTTAAAAAAGCAAAAAGGTTTTTACCTTAAAAATGGTTAAAAAGGGAAAAAAATTTTTAAAAATAAAAAATGGCCAAAGTATATTTGACTTAACAAAAGAAATTTTTTTTCGGTTTTTGCCAAAAAAAAAAATAAAAATTTTGGTAAAGGCAAAAAAATTTTTGTAATAAAAAGGCCCAAAATTTAAAAAAAAATTAAAAATTTTGGGAAAAAGGCCCTTAAACAAGCAAACACACAAGCTTCTTCATTGCTAGAATGATATGATCTAGGTACTGCTAATTTGCAGAAACTTACACATTAAATGGTTCCCTAATTGGCCACAATTCCTGCTTTGGTACAACTTCTGCTGGAGGTAGAAACTCAAACCTTGGCTCATTCATATCTGCGAATATTTGTGAAAAATATTTATACATCAATGATGTTAGGAATTTTTTATTCTAACAAGAGCTGTCGCAACGCTCGACTATCTTAGTGCTTGATAGTAAAAGAGCCTTGATAATGTAAAATTTTCTAAGTTTACAAAAGGGCAAAATTTTTCTTTAAATCCATGTTACAGTTATAGACCTTGGAAAGAGTCCTATTATGCTCTCAAAGAAGAGTATAATATTTCAACTTGTTTCAAAGCCAGATGTCAATAGAATATGAAAATATCTGAGATGGTATTCAAACTTGTACATCAATTCTAAGTCGAAAAAGGGGCATAATTCTGTCAAGATGCTTGATACAGTTACCTCCTCCTGTTCACAGGTTGGGGTCATGATGGTGAACAAGTGTGCAAAGTTTCAAAGCCATATATCAATGGACTTTGAAAATATTTGAGGTATTACAAAAACTTTAACATATGTTCTAAGTCGAAAAAGGGGCATAATTCTGTCAAAATGCTTGATACAGTTTCCTCCTTCTGTCTACAGATTGGGGTCATGATGGTGAACAAGTGTGCAAAGTTTCAAAGCCATATGTCAATGGACTTTGAAAATATTTGAGGTATTACAAAAACTTTACATAAGTGGTTACGCCGACGCGGACGCGGACGCAGACGCTCGGGTGACTTCAATAGCTCTACTTATTCTTATCGAATAGTTGAGCTAAAAATTAGATATGCCTATATATTTTCATCGCAAACAAGTTAACAAGAGCTGTTGTGGAGCAGGCCACTCCATTTTTCTAAGTGCTAAATATTAAACTGGGCTTGAACAACAAAGTTTATGTTTTGCTATAACAGATACCAGTGATCTTTTGACCTGAAAATGGATGTGTCACTTAAAACCCACTAAAATGCATCCACATATAAAATTACAAAGTAAAAGGGCTGTTAGTATTGAAGTTAATGACCACAAATGAAAACTCAACACCACTCCGCCCCATGTGTCCATAACAAAAAGCATGAAATTAATTTCCTTTATAAATCAAGCGTCAAAGTCATTATACATCAGGACTCATAGCTTTAAATTGGGTGGCATTTAGGTAAAAAATAAAGACTTTAACTCCCTAATTTTGTTAAAGAGCAAGTTATCTTTCACTAGAAAGGGCTTTTCAGTTTTTTTTAATGGATTAAACATATGTATATAATACAGACTTTGTGACATCCTTAGGTATAAAGGGAAAAAAACTGTATTAGAGGTGGTGGTATAATATTGGTTTGCTAGGAAAGAGCCAAAATTATAAGTGCTTTGAATTTTACAAATGTAATACCATGTTTGGTTTTCAGTTATCATTACCTAAAAATGTGTTTATAACATTCTAAATGCTTTGTTGCTTGATTTAACACCATGCTAGGCAACAAAGAATCAAAATTAACAACATAGCTTGGGGTGTCCATGGCTTAGTGGTTGAGGTTGTTGACTTCGAACCATTTGCCCCTCTGCTGTGGGTTCGAATCCCGTTAGGGACTTTGGATTCTTTCATGTGAGGAAGCTATCCAGCTAGCTTACAGAATGTCTGTGGTTCTACTCAGGTGCCAGTTCATGCCTGAAATACTCACCTGAGGTCTTCCTCCACCAATAAAGCTGGGAAGCCACCATATGACCTATACTGTGTTGGTGTGACATAAAAAAACCCAACCAAAAAAAACAAAAAAAACACTGTTTCCGATATGTAACACCATTACATCTCTGAGAAGGCAAGGCCCTTATTAAACGTGGAAGTGAATTATGCTTAATCCTCCGATTTAGCAAAAGATAATAAAATACAATAATATAAAACTTCTTGGTATAAATGCAAATAATTTACCTAAAACATTATGAAACACATTCCGAACAGATTCATCCCACTCTGCTTGGAAGAAACAAATTCCAACAGGAGTTATATGTTCCTGGTTATTTCTGTAAAATTTTAATGTCTTGAATGTTCTCTCTTCTAATGAAGTACTGAAAATATATGACAGATATTTGTAAAGATGTACGAGGGTTGTTCAAAAAGTAATAGGACTGGAGCTCTACTGTTTACAGTTTTTACTTTACGTACATAATTTTACAAGAAACAAATATCGGAACATGTTCTCTTTATACAGTGAAAAAATCATGACAAAATATTAACAAATAACAATTCTGCGAAATTTTCAAATGACAAGGGGTACGAAACCCGGCGCACGCTGACAATACAATAAATGACGTTCATGATGTCGTTAACAAAATACAAAATATAACAAGTGTCATCCATCCTGAAAGTATTCTCCCTAAGCTCTAGGTGTTTGAATCGTGCGACCATGATCACGTTCCATAAGTAGAGATTAAGCGAGAAAGAAAGCGATCAGAATTTCGTTCAATTCTCCAAGAAAAATGCCCGATAGCCGGCCATTCTCCACTTTTCTCAAATATTTGAGTAAACTTGGAACGCAACAAGCATGGACTTATGCTAAAGCAAAACCGATTTTTATTATTAATTTTCACATGTATGTCATTGTACGTTTTTAAACAATATGATATTATACAGTAAAAAAACACTATTCATCAATTGATAAGTATCATTTATTTTAACAAAATTTGGGTAAATTCTACTACTATTTATTAAAACCGTTAATCATTATAATAACCAAGTATATCTAATGAGATGCAATAAAATAATGTTTGATAGAAACGTCTTATAAACAATCCTTTGATGAGAACTAAATAAGTAGACCCGAAGCAGACATAAAAAAATACCGGACAGTCCGCGTACCGTTTACCATTGATCCATTAACAGTGCTTTTGCAATTGACGTCACTAACGTCATGTCAATTTTCCATTTTCATCCTCACACATTCCTGTGAGAGATTTTGTATTCGCCGTTATTAAATTGATTGTACCAGCTGAAAACGAGTGTCCTGATGGCAGGATAATTTTCCTTTCTTAATTTTATGATTTTGTATGTATCTGGAAGAATATTGCCAATTTGTTGGCACAATTTAACGATTGCACGAATTTCTGTTTGTTACCGAGTGCCGTATTTCTACATTAAACGCATAAACCACAGCTATTCAAAACTAAATCATTATGCCATCTCTTGCCCGAATGAAGTCAAATTTAAATATAATGTCACTTAAATATAAATAAATGTGTTCGTGGAATATATGGACAAATAAAGTGTATATTATAAATAAATCAGAAGTACAACTTAGGTTCAATAACTATTTGTATGTGTTGCGCCGGGTGCGTGTTACCATGGTTATTCAATATCACAGGAAACGCGCGTTCATCACAATAAATTAATAAACTTTTGCATAAATTGTAGAAAACATTTTACGATCCTTATACATATGATGATATTCTAAATTGGATGAAATATGAATATGCAAGACTCGCAGTCCTATTACTTTTTGAACAACCCTCGTATACTCTGAGATTTAATAGCTAACAACTCAATGTTCAATAAATTGCTTTAAACAAAAAAAATATGAAATACTCATCAGTTTTGTTTATACTTATCTATTTTACATGTTTTAGTTCGATAGTGTTGGAAGCTATAAGCTAATTGAAACACTCTCGAATCGGGACCTGACACCAACCAGTACTAAGCAACAAGTGTAAAGTGTACTTTGTAAAATAAAACCTGGAATGGCATAGTGGTTAAGGTTTCTGTCTCTTAACACTGAAACTGTGTGTTTGAGCCCTACTTGGGCCACGAATAACTCATACTGCATGTGTACTGTTTAGTCCAGGAAGCTGACTAAACTGCTTTAATTGACCTCAAACGTTTCATCAAAATCAAGCTTAAATGTCAATGATATTTACCTCATAATTTAAGGATCTAAATCTGTGAGGAATATAAGCTTAGCTGCTACCCAGGCATCATGAAATATTTTCAGAATCACTCGTCCTGCAGGATGAGTAGCTTCTAAATCCAATGTGCAGGCAACATTTTTCTTCTTGTCCTGCATTGAGTTCTCTTAGATTCTACTCGTAATTATAAGTGGACAAGTGGAATTTTCTATCTCTCCTACCTACCGCTAAAATGACCAATGGTCATTAAAATTTAAACTTCTAACTTCCCGGTATAACAATTACCTGTCTGAGATTTGTACTTGAGATGAGAAATCAACTGGTTTATCATGTTGATAAAGAATGAACACATATCTATGGTGACCAGTGCCATGTACGGGGAATATAGGTAAATAATTGCAGATTGTCTCCCCTTTGTCCACTGACTCACCTGGTATGTTACACCTGTAGAGTAAAAAGTAATGTAAAAATGAAATTTTCCTGTAAAATGATAAATGGTTTTGTCATGATTGAAAGATGGCCAAGTTCATTTAAGATATTTAGCATGATAAGTGTGAATTAATATGGTTTCTGAAAAATGTTATTAATTTAAGAATACCTAGTTAGTACATGAAGTTATCTCATATGAGCTTAAAATATTAAAGGCTTTCAATGAAATATATATGTGCCAAATGATTTATCATCACAAAATGATTTGCACTGAATGGTATAGTATATACAATCATTTACATGATGAATATGCCCCAGTGCTCATAAATAAAATAAACCAGTCTATACAATTTTCATGATACAACTTGAGAGAATATGAGATATGTACATGGTTACAATGATTTATCACAAGGTTAAACAAAAGATGTTTAAAGAACCTGAAACCTCCACTTTTGTTGCCAACAATGCTCATTGCTAACAAGGTCCCATATAATATCAACAGTTATATGTTAACAAGCAAATTCTTTGAATTTATATCCCCCGCCGAGTACTGGTTATTATTAACACAACAACTGATGATTCCCATAAAGTTTCGTTGAATTCCAGCCAGTAGTTGCAGAGAAGTAGTGCGGAAACGATTTTTACTCTATATGCATACTACATAACTAATCAAGGGCCATAACTCTGAGTTAAAGTGTCTGACCGGAACAAGCCGACAATATGCGCATCTCCTCTTGATATTGATGATTCCCATAAAGTTTCGTTGAATTCCAGCCAGTAGTTGCAGAGAACTACTCCGGAAACGATTTTTACTCTATATGCATACTACATAACTAATCAAGGGCCATAACTCTGAGTTAAAGGGTCGGACCGGAACAAGCCGACAAATGCCCATCTTCTCTTGATAATGATGATTTCCATAAAGTTTCGTTGAATTCCAGCCAGTAGTTGCAGAGAACTACTCCGGAAACGAAATTCGGACGGACGGATGGACGGACATGCCACTTAAATGGACTAAAGGGCCATTTCTTTTGTTATTTTCTTTTGTTTAATAGAGGGCCATGGCCCCTTATTCTATTGTTACGGAATGAACTCTATTGTTCTCTTTTGTTCTGTTTACTGTTAGATGGCCCCCTAACCCTATTTAGTTGCTCGGAAGGACGGACGGACGGACAACGCCAAAACTATATCCCCCTCCCGATTCCATTGGCGGGGGATAACTAGACATGACTGTGACTGAGCAACTGTGAGGTTAGGTACTTGTGACCTTGCATTTAAATCCAGATTGAAACCAAAGAATTATTTAATGTATAGAAGGTTCAGTGCTTCTAAAATGTCCCAACTTATGCTTGAAATTATGTATGACAGGGTATCTAAGGTACTCTTAGAAAAATCTCAATAAGTAACATACACTGTACAATATTAATATAAAACCATACAAATAAACAAATTCAAAACTCTTTAATAGTCTGCTAGCTGTAATAGGTTTATCCCATGTAACTAGTGCCGACCAGGATCTCAGCCGGCATATCCATGCAATCTGATCATTATCTGTACCATTCTTTATACAGTCAATAGATATTTTGAAATCTCTAAAAATGTTGGTTGGTTTTGTCCAAATTTAAGGATCCACAAGTCCATTTAAGAATATTCAAAGCTGTTCTATGTGTTACTAATAACAAAAATGTGAATATATTTGAAAAACTTACACCATCCAGTGTAGATACTCCTGATGATTGTTAGTGAGATGGCTGTCCGGTGCCGTCATACACAATGTGTAAAATTTACCTGGCTCGGCTTTAAATTCAAAGTGCGGCTGTTGGCTAACCTATACCAAAATATATAACATAATGTTAATATTCTCTTAAAACTTCAACTGCATAAGAATATTTGATGCCGATAACTGATGTTGTTTAACTTTTAAAACAAAATAACTTTGTTTATCGTATAAACCACGATGCAGGTGAGTAATAAAGCCATTTAATAAAATCAATATTACACTTGTGTAATAACAATACGGCATGGTGGCATTTGTGTCATTATATACAATTCTAACACATTTCACAATATTCCCCTATCAACCAGTAAGGGATGTCAAGTGCATTATTAAACAGAATAAGTACAATACCAACAAGAGCTGTCACAGGAGACAGCGAAGCTCAACTAATTAAATACTGGACGCAGTAAGGAAGACAAAACTATTAAAGAAAACTCAGATATGATATAAATATATTTCTTCTTATGACATGAAATTATAGTTGTTAACATAAATTTCAAGGGGGGGAAATTCTTGAAATAGTCACATTAGAGTTATGGACCTTGTCAGACAACATGTGTGTAATGATAAGAAATATATGTTTGAAGTAGATACCTTAAAAAGTAAAGAAGTTATAAAATTTCTTAAAGAAAATTCTAAGTTCAAAGGGAGATAAAACTGAAAATATTGCTTCAAGAGTTAATGGGGAGATAATTCTTGCAATATTGGTACTAGAGTTATAAACCTTGTCACATAAAATGTGGTTAATGATAAGAAAAATATATTTGAAGTATTAAGTTGATCCCTTAAGAAATAAAGAAGTTACAGTCAAAAATATTCTTTTTTTTAAGGAAAATTCTAAGTTCAAGGAGAAATCAATCTAAAAATATTGGTGCTTGAGTTATGGTCACATAAAATGTGGCTGATGATAAGGAACATACATGTATATTTGAAGTATAAATTTGATCCCTTAAGAAATCAGTTAAAAAAATAATATTTTTTAAGGAAAATTCTAAGTTCAAGGGGAGATAAATCTTAAAATATTGGTGCTAGAGTTATGAACCTTGTCACATAAGATGTGGTTGATGATAAGGAGCAAATATTTGAAGTATTAAGTTGATCCCTTGAGGAATAAAGAAGTTACAGTAAAAAATAATATTTTTAAGGAAAATTCTAAGTTCAAGGGGAGATAAATCTGAAAATATTGGTGCTAGAGTTATGAACCTTCTCACATAAGATGTGGTTGCTGATAACGAACATATATTTGAAGTTTGAAGTTGATACCTTAAGATATAAAGTTTAAGTGAAAAATAAAAACAAAAAACTTTAATCTGAAATCTGGACGCGGATGCCGGGGCGAGTAGGAAAGCTCTCCAAATACTTTGTATAGTAACAAGCTAAAAATGTAACTTCTTAACTGTAAATCATTGCTATTTTTGATAAATAGAATATTATTTCAAAAGAAATTCTAAAATCTGGCAAACCTACCTCCTCAGGAGGAAATTTATTTCCATAAAACACTGGGTTCACCATACTTTCTTCCCCATCTATTGGATATCCTACATGAAGATCTAAACTTGGGTAAAAGTATGCATTTCCAAATAAGTCTTTAAATATTCCATAATGAGCTGTGAGTGTATGAATTCTTTGTTGTCCTTGACCTTCAAAGTCTTCCTCTGTCACCTTTTTAATTGGTACTTCCACTTTAAATAAATACAATTCATTAAATATTCAATATCTTTATCAAGAGAGGGTATTACTTATCTTCCATAAGATAAGTATCTTTCACAGTTTGGTCTGATCAACTAAAACTTCACAAAGAACATTATTGCAGAGCATTAGAATTCATTTGTAGAAGATTCTCCAAGAAAGAATATGACCTAAAAACTGACAAGAGATTATTAAGCCTGAACATCAGTTTTAACAACAGCTGTCAATAGGACAGTATGAATGCCTTTTCGAGCGCTTGATAGCAAAATAAAAACCCGGAAAATTTGGAATTCTCTAAGTTCTGAGTTCAAAAAGGGCCAAAATTATGTCAAAATCCACATTACAGTTATGGGCCTTGGTCAGTCACCTCCTGTTATGCTCTCAAGAAAAGTGTATGAAGTTTCAACCCATTCCCTTAAATAGTGTTGGAGATACTAACTTGCATGCAAAAACTTAGTCAAAGTGTGATGCTGACACGGACACGGGTGCCTGGGTGAGTTCAATAGCTCCCCCTATACTTTCAATAGTCAAGCTAAAGTATGTGTATACACTCTAATTACTGTAACAGATAAATAACAAACTTCAGAGTCTGTAAGCAAACTTTTATATACAATATCAAACTAGTCATTATGTGGCTTCCACAACCAATCGGGGGATTTTGATTCCAAGGCAGGAGATCTGGAGACACTGTTGAAAATCGGGGGTTTTGTCCCCCGGGGGGATATGGCATGTATGTAATGGATTCTACAAAAGAACCTCAAAATAAAATCATGAGCATCAAACATTGCCTTACATTGGCTACGAATGAAGCTGAATCAGTACAATTATTTGACAGGACAAGTGTATCTGAAAGACAACCCTCAGAAGTGATTAATGTATTACTGAAACAAGAAAGCACCACATTTAAATTGAAGATCTATGGTAGGAGCTAAGGACTAAGGTTTGGTGCTTACACTGATTTAATCTTGATTTCCTCTCTAACTCCTCAAGGTTTCTTTCTGTTTTTAGTTGTCGCATAAACTTCCTTGATACTCTATTTGTTTTGACGTTTGAAACCAATCCAATATTCACAACCATATCTTGATTTTGACCTGCCTTCTCTATCTCTGAAATATAAAAAAATGATATTTTCTTCAACAGATCTTTTTAGAAAGTAGACAATCAAATTTAAAGGAAGATAACTTTTCTATATATATATATATATAGATCTTTTCTATTTTTATTTTTCATTACTTAAAAAACTGAACTTTTAATCTAGTTCTCGAAATGTCAAAACCCGTCTCTTGTTTCTTGTCAAAGTTTCAAACTAAATGAGTCAACCTGTTGAACATATTTTCGAAATCTGTACTTTGTTTGTAGCCCCAGATTAAAAAAGACGGAAAACCCCGAAATATTCTTAATTCTGGAGTAGTCCATGATTCCCCCTATATCAAGCCAGGACTATCCTTTTTAAGGTAGCCAGCTTTTTTCCCCCTGAAAGACCAGATCCATTATCACTCTCAGCAGCAACATTTTCGTATTCTCATGTTTATAGGCTACATAGTACATGTAATAGTACTATGATAACTATTGGACTGTGCATCCCCTGAGAACAATGCTTAATCAGCACTTGGTAAAGTGGGTTCACTTTGTTTGCAGATTTTATACGGGGAAGTCAAAGACCGGGCCCGCGAAGCGGGTCCGGGCTTTGGCTTGCCCGGCTATAGACTACACGTGTATATTTAAAAGAAAATCAAATAAAAAACAATTAAAAAAATATATAGAATTCTATACCTATCAATGAAATTTTCAGTGTCAGTTCTAGTCGGGCGCCGCCATTTACAATGTAACTCAATGATAAAAGGCGGGGTATTCCGATAACGGAACAAATCTCAACTTTTCGGATCAATAATAAACGTCGAGTGTTCCGAGTGAAAACGGAAGCGGTGCATGTAATACCGAATGACAATTTTAAAACGGAAAGAATGAAAGGAATTTTTTAACGACTTCCCCGTTCATAGGCTTTGCCTAATTTCATATTACTTCACAACAGCAGGTGTCAAGTGCTGTGTGGCAGCTGTAAAAAGTTGCCCTGTACTTCACTTCAGTGTTATTATATTTTTCTGGTCTTTCAGGATCCTTGATGCCAGCACTACTAAGTGTTGAGATTTGAGTACCGCTTAAGCCAGTGCTAGGGGGCATGAAGGATGTTGCACTTATTCATTATCCCTCATGTACAGACTCAATCAGACGGAGTCTGCAAATTTCATGTAATTTTGTTGCGATTAATTAATGCTTCCGAGGGATCACTTTGTTTCCAGATTTTTTACAAGAACAACATATTTTTAACATATTTAATAACATTTTGCTGAGATAGTAAATGGCTGATACAGATTTTAGTGTATGATGTCATTGCTTCCTCTCTATTTTATATCACTCTGTGATTGTACCAACAGGCTATGGCCCAAACTTCGGTATAAAGTGTCCGGACTTCTCGTCAGAAATTAGTCCTTCATTGAAAGATTTTGCATTTTCTTTTTTTAACAGTTTTACTTTGATCGGAAAATGCGAAGACTTTCAATGAAGGATAAATTAGCAGATTTGATCAATCATCAATGTATAAAAATTTTATTATAGCTTCAAATCTGTGGACAAGTGTCTGGTTTGCAGTATATGTGATTGGTCTGACATTTCCATATTCCTACTCATTTCTGTTTGCACAATTTAAATATTATCATACTTTGCAATTTGATTTTTGTAAAATGGTACGTTTTGCCTTGGGGACGATTGACTTTCTAAGGTCAACATATCAATGAATAATATACCTTCCTTTCTCTGTTTCCATGATTTTTGAGTATCATAAGACGGTTCATTACTTCTGAAAACGTCGTTTGTTAAAAAAGAGGTCCGAACTTGAGTTTTTAAACAACAGCCCTCTATTTTTGTCAAGTGCTTCGACAGTCGTCCGATCATGGAGGCTGCCATTTTGAGAAGAACGATAACCCTGGACAAAAATGAAGGGACAAGTTATTATTGAAAAATATCTGTTTAAAATATATTCAATTCAGAAGTGAAGATTAATATAAGCCAACATAAAAAGTCTCTGTTCCTTTAAATTTATAATTTTATAATATAATCTACGTATCTCCTGATAATTTGTCTTTCAGTATTTTCTTTAAAGTCTGCTGGTCCCTGTATAGAAAACAAAATGGCGGCGCCCATGAGCACACACGATTTTGACAACAAACAATTTTTGAAACAAGGAGCGGAGGCTAAAGTCTACAAGGAAAAGTTTTATGACAAATGTTGCATTAGTAAAGAAAGGTTCTCAAAAGCGTACAGGCATCCGTCACTAGACAAATCGTTGACTTTGCAAAGATTAAAAGGAGAAATACGTGCAATGAACAAATGTAGAAATTTGGGTAACAATCTTATCATGTTAAACTCAATCTTTGTTCTTAATAATAATTATCATAAATAAAGGGTGGTCTCTGTTTGCACGAAGGGGACATCAGAATTATTTTATCTACCACGTGCGCACGTGATAGCTACTGTACTACTTTGCATGCGATACATGTAGCATACAATACACATGTGCATGTTATGATTAACTAATGTAGGGGCTAGTATCCTGTAATAGTAGCTGTTATGTGAGCACATAGTAGCTATCGCGTGCTTATATAGTATGTATTGCCTGCGCACATGCGCATATAGTTACAATCAAGTGGGCACGGAGTAGCTATCGCGTGCGCAAATGATAAAATCTTTCTGATGTTCCCTCTATGCCACCGTAGTGGTCTCATTAAAACTGCTCTTTTATCTAAGTCATAAGTATAGATATTTTATGACCGTTATATGCATATTTTTTTGTACACAGATAAGGTAAAAAAAAATTATACTCAAGGATGCTAAAATTAGTGTTTTCCAGTTTCTCGTACAACCTTTATTTAGTGACTGATGTACTAAATATTTAGAAGGAACATAACTTTGTTGGTCCAGATTTGGGAGTCACAAGGCAGTGATTTTCCTGCTTATATAACAGACTGCGATAAAAGGCCTCTTCCCAATGGAATTTTCTTTAAAATGATGCAGTTTTCCCAAAAATCTGAACTTAAACCTGCTTTTTTACTTCCCAGTTTAGCAATTTTAGCAATATTTTTTCCCAAAATCAAGTGGCTAAGGCCTCTTCCCAATTAAGTGAGAAAAATCACTGCAAGGTCAAGGTCACGTATGCTAAACAAGAGATTTTAACACTTTTGCTTATACATTCTTTATTTTATTACCATTGTCTTATGATTTGGAAGGAACATACCTTGGTTGATTCTCTCTTTTTTGATGGAGTTTGGGGTCACTTGGTTTAAGTTTATGGTCTTCCATGTATCTTTTTTTGAATTGATTAACTTTTATTGATAGGTAGTACAATTTCTAATTTTATCAAATATAAATGGCATGCAAACATACATTTTTCTACAGTAACAAAATGTCTTGACTGTCAATTTATGATATCAAACTGTGTTTACAATATTCTTTAGTGATCTTTCCTTCCATAACTGTGTGAACCTTTTTGGAAAAATGTGTTACTGACTGTGACAAGAATCTGGGTTTTGTTTTTACCAAAAATGCTCTTGTTTGTCTCTATTTTTTGACAGACTACAGGTTATCCCTTAGTATCACAGATTACAGCTTCATGTGTACAATTATATATAACTCAACTGCATTCTTTACATTATTCAGAACTAAAGTTAAAGCACAATAGTATTTTAAAATAATCCTAATTGTATTTGCAGGAATAAGAGTGCCAGTTTTATACTTTGTGGATACAAACACAAGTACATTTTATATGGAAGAGATAACAAATAGTCAAACTGTTAGAGATTACATCATACATATTCAGTCCACGTCACCAGACGATGCTGTAGAAAAACTTACACCACTAGCTACAAAAATAGGACAGATATTAGGCAGGATGCATCGTGGGAAGGTTATTCATGGAGATCTTACAACATCCAATATGTTACTAAGTGGAAATCCAGACAATTTAGATATTGTGTTAATTGACTTTGGATTGAGTTTTTTGGAAGGTCTACCAGAAGATAAAGGAGTTGACTTGTATGTGTTTGAACGTGCTTTGCTCAGTACACACCCAAACACAGAACAGGTGTTTGAGATCGTATTAGATGCATATAAACATGAAAACAAGAAAGAAGCACCAGATGTGATCAGTAAACTTGAAGAAGTGAGGATGAGAGGGAGAAAGAGGACCATGGTTGGATAGTTAACAAACTGTTGATTATTTGGTTCTGAAAACTGTAACAATTCACCCTTCAAATATATTTTGTCAACTGATAGAGTAACTGAACTTTCTGAGTTCATTTTGTACAATGAAACATTTACTTCCTGCAAAATGAATGATATATGTACATATTAATATACAGTCTTTAAGTAATTATCAAACCATTTACCATTTAGATTAATGAGATTTTTTCTGAACCTAGATGTAGATTAAATGCCAATATATTTTATGGTATAAATTCAGTTAGGGTTTCTAATGAATTCACTGCCCAACAATAAATTTTATTACAAAAAAATAATCTGTAATTAAAACATTATTAAGTAACATTAGTGTATCTACTTTATTTTTGTCACAAAGATTTTCCTTTATCAAAATAATGCAATAAAATTTGGATTATAAATAAACATCATTTTGTTATTCAAAACCATATATATGTACGTGTTGCTTCATTTATAGGCATATTAAAAAAATATGGAGCTTTACTCTAATAACAAATGTGGTGAAGGACATCTGTGTTGAGTGCAACATTAGTGCCTCGGAGGGCACTTTGTCAAATAGATAATAACTGAGTTTATACAAGGTTTATAAGTCTTGTTAGCAATATGATCTTTATTTGATACATATGAGAAAGTTTTCCTTGCTTATTTTAGGTTTTTACTTGTGTGCCAACATATGCTGCATGAAATAATGCATGGTTGGTCACTCACTCAAAAATTCACTTCACCAATGGCAGTACATGTTAAAAGTGTAGGTTTTACTTCAAAATGGAACATAACATAATTGATATTCAAATAAATGGACCCATTGGCTTGTGGAGTAAAATGCCAGAAGGGCTGAAATTGTCAGTTAAATGATTTAATAAGAAATTAATAATTGTACATGTAAATGCCATTTGAAGCTTTAATGAAAAGGAAACATTCACTAAATAAAATTTATGGAATGTACAGAAAACAAAAACAAAACATTTGTGTAAAAATATATTTATTTTTATACTTTACTTCATAGATTAAAAGATTAGTTTAATAAACATATGTAGGGACATTCATTGTCACACACAAAGTTACATACACAAAATATCTGATGAAATGTTGAGCATGCAAGCAACTATGTGTATGTACTGGCATAATCCACCCACTAATAACATAACTTTTATCTTAAAAGGGACATCACTCTATATTTTCATACATAAAAATACATGTAGTTCACAGTACTTTACTTTCTTATAAATCATAAAGGGAACTTATGATCTTGAAAAACAAGAACTAACAAGTTACAAATGTACAAACATAAAAAAATTGTTTTGTTATAGGTTGAACACTTGTTATTAATGCTTTATCCTCGTGGACATTTATCCTTGGGAATTAAAATAAACATTCAAATATTATATGTTTTCAGTAATATTTTTATGTTGATGAAAGGAATACAAAAAAGTGTTTGCACAGTTCTAGACCATGTGTGAGAGGAGATGAGAAATGAGCCGCGTCATGACAAAACCAACATAATGGGTTTGCGACCAGCATGGATCCAGACCAGCCTGCGCATCCGTGCAGTCTGATCAGGATCCATGCTGTTCACTTACAAACCCTATAACAAGTAGAGAAACTGATAGCGAACAGCATGGATCCTGATGAGACTGCGCGGATGCGCAGGCTGGTCTGGATCCATTATGTTGGTTTTGTCATGGCGCGGCTCAAATTGCTCTGATGTTTTTGTTTTATCTTTCAAACTTTGGCCAACTAATTAATATGAACAAAAGTTATTATTCACTATTTCTGTATTAATAGTGGCCTTTGTTTAAAATTGTTTACAAATCTAACTAAACTTATTGTTCACTTAAAACAAATATCCACATAACATCAATGAAAGCAATGAAATCAAACTAAATTATCAAATTTAAGTTACCTGGCTGTAGAAATATCTTTCACTAAATACATGTAGCAACTATGAACTTGTGCTTTGCCTAGGATCTATACTTGCATGCCCTGAAAAAAGGACTCCTCTATCGTCATAAAATGCAAGTAATTATTATAAGATTGTTTAATTACCAAAATTTATTATAAGATGGACATTATTCCATATTTTAAGTTCTTTATCTTTGATGTGTCATATAATATAGAGAGGTAACTGTAAATTTGTCAGTAACATTATAGACATTGTGAAATTATAACAAGCTGGCTATCATTAGTTATGGTATGAAATGATAATTTTAGGCTACATTCATGCAGTATGTCCAGGATTCATGATCATGGCTGGCCAGTTTCAAATTTTCTTTTTTTGATGTAAGCATAATTGGTAATGATCAGTTAAAGATATAGAAGCTGGACAAGTCCATTTATGAAATTCGGCAGGTTAAAGGTTAAATGAATTTCTGAATCACCGTTTCATACATTTTGTGTGAGAATATTGATGACCCTGGATGAATCCTGACACCTCAAATGACCATAATTATAGCCATAAAATTATTATGTTTCACCAAAACTAATAAAGAAGAAGTGAGGCAAAAAAATATGAAAACAAAAAATTTTACACTCGCAGTCTAGAACCTTTTGAAATTAATGCAACCAAAAGTTACTGTTGACAGTTAATTAATGGTAACTTGCATTATGAAATATGTGAAACAACTATCAAGAAACAAAAGAATATTTAGCAATATGAAAATCTATTTTTAGCCTCAAAAGACCTTGACCCTATGTGCCTCAAGCTCCAACCAATGGTAAGTGTTTACTTACTTAATGAATAAATAAATGAACTTGCTATGAAAAAAATGCATAATGAGAGATGGAAAAAATCAACATCTACAATCAACAAAGCTGGCAAGTTAAAAAAAATTCTCTTAAGAATTTTCTTATTGTATTTATATAAAATGACAACAATATTCTGATTTTCTGTTTATCACCTGAATAAAGGATGCTTTATACAACAGTGCTTAATCAAATAATAATCATACAAATGGTAAATAGTAAAAATAATTATAAAAAGTGTGTTGCTGTTTAATTTATGTAAGACCTACAAGCACTCAAATTTTATCATAGTCTTTTATCTATATTGTACTGTAGTCCTTCATTGAAAAACATTGCATGTTCTTTTTTTTTTTACAGTTTTATGTTTTCGGAAAATGCAGATTTGACCAATTTTAAAAAATAGCTTCAAATCCGTGGTTTACGTCTAAATATTTGGACTAAATTGCACTGTAGACTTCATATTGTAATATAGAAATATGTAATGATTAAGTTAAAACAAAGCCAATTAAATGAAATAAATAGAAAGTATTGCACAAGTGTGCTATTCTGACGGGTTGTATTGCTTGAGTTGATTATGTAAAGTTGTTTTCTAGCATCTAGTAAATTTCAGGGTGTATATATTCGTTCAGTTGAAAATCAGAAAACTTGTAGGTATTATATAACATAATCTATATATAAACATAATTTCAATAACATGAATTCAATATTATGATTATACATTACTGAAATAAATAGGGATTGCAAATATAAATATAAAATCATAATTTAAAGAAACCACTATTATAAACCATACACAAGCAATCATAACTTCAATGAGTATTATCTCATGTACCATTTTTACAAGATAAAAACAAGTTTATGATAATTGATCATTGAGAATAAGGTCAAATCTAATAAATTATCACCACACATAACAAGAAGTTAATGATCATCCTAACATGCAAATCTGTATAAATGGATATCAGCTTAACATTTAGTTCGGTGCCTGAAAGGGCAGATGGACCCTCATTAAGCCTAGAATACACATAAACGTTTAGTTAACTGACTAAGGATGCCATAGACTAAAGTATGTGGATGGATCACAAGAAAAAAAAACAAATATAAGTTACTTGAAAATGAAGTCTAAGGTTAGTAAAAGAAAACACCACACACATTAAAACAGATATGAAATTAGTGTTGGGTAAAATATTGTATCAATTGTCACTCATTTTCCGACTAGAAAAATCAAAAAATCACACACTTGTAAAACTATCTTTTTATAATAGTGTTATATATTGGTATAAAAGAGTAACACAATTTGTGAAAGAATTGGCAGTTTTAACAGTCAGGGAGACACAATGTGCCACATACATGGGATATGAAACTTCAGTCAGGTTGACACCAATATATCACATACATGGAATATGACACTTCAGTCACGGTCACACAAATGTGTTACACACATTCTAAAAGATGACACTAGTGGCAATTGTTACAGTCAGGATGACACACTTCTCCATTAACACGACATCTGCATCCACCACTTGTATCTCCATTTCCCTGTTATTGTGAAAAATATCAAATGATAAAATTTCAACATCATGAATTGCAGTTAATCTAAGAAACTATTTGTCACATACATGTAGTTGAAATAATTATAACTCGGACAGACATACTTATCTAAAAACACTTCATTTCCAAGGTTCCTTTGATATTGATGATTTAATTTACATGTTATTGTATACTGCTGATAAAATGGTACAGTGATTAATACTGAGGTTTGTTTTTCCTGGAATATGAAATTGTTTATTGTAATCACAAGTGCCTGACGTCAAACACACACACCCCTACTCTACCCCTTTATATATATATAGATATAAGAAGGTATAATGGGGATATTAGATGTCAGGCACCTGTGATTGTTATATACTTTTAAGTAAATTTATATTATTATTTGACATACTTTTTACTGCAAAAAATATACATGTATTTCATTTGAGGTATCATACAACATTACATGTAACTCCAAACAAATTCAGATCCTTTATGTACAAAATGTATTATAATTATATATTATATTTTCTTCTGGATTTATTACTTAAAAATAACAAGTGATAATAACATACCCCAGGTCCCCATCTTGGCCCTTTAGTCACCCAGCAAATCTCTGTCTTACAGATAGAACATTGAATCCAGTCACACCCTTCCTTCTTCATGATAATTACCTGTAGTAATTGAGAGAAAGTTGTATTTAGCTCATCAAAGTTTGAACTTCTCTGTTATTCAGTTACGGCTTTCGTAAAAAACCTCACAGGAAAATGTCCAGGCAAATGTCAGTATACATAAAATAATCCCATCCATGTTTTACACATGTAAATTATTTAAAAACATATATATCTAAATAACACCTATATTTTAATGATTGAAAAAATTTGGCATATAATCATCCATCAATCCTAAACTGATATGTGGTTGAAGAAAATGGTTGCATTACGTAATAGCAGGGTGGTCTTATTTTTCGGATTGCAAGACAATTGAAATAAGAAGAAAAAAACATTCTTTGACAAATTAGTCATAATAGCGGGGTGTAAAACCTTACCCGACATTGGGGACAGTTCATAGCATCTCCATCATCAAGCATACGTTTTATCATAATTTGTGTCTGACTGGCTGCCTTGTCATTCACAGCTCTTGCCTTCAAATCTTCTTGATATTGTTTACAATTCATCCCTTAAAAGGAAAAGAAATTTGTTAAAAATGAAAACCTTATAATGTAGCTTTACAATTTTGTACATTTTACAAATGTGTACATCTTTACACTTTCATGATTAATGTCAATTTTTACTTGCTTTGTTTAAAAATTGAAACACTTCATTATAAATTTCAGGGAATTCAGAACCTACCTACATTTAAAAAGTTGATTGAATAAAGTTTGATCAGAGAGCATTAGTCATTCTTGACACTACCATTCCAATTTAGTAATGAGAACTACTGACCATGTCGTTTGATGGTAGTCTGAACTGGTTGCAATTCAATGAGTTATTATCAAAATTTTCCCTAAAAATGATGAATGGATAAATTACATTTATCGGTAATTAAAGCTGTGATGCATTCATGAATTTACTTGTATTCTTATTCAAACTCAATAAACATTTTAAATAATTATAAAACAAACATGCATGTAGAATAATAGTTTCCATTTCTCTTACTAATACTGAAACATGTTACAGGCATTTACTTTTGAAGTTGTACGGTAGAAAAAAAATCACTTTTTATTAAGCTTACCTTGATGAATAACTTTGCAAGTCAGACAGTTTTCTTTGCCACATACTTGACAAACGAAAAAATTGACATGGTCCTCATATATACACCATCCAGGGCAATCAGCAGTTTTACAGTGGAAACTATTCTGGGCCTGACTCTCAGCTGTTGCTAATCCACGTGCTAAATACTTCGCAAAACCAGCCTGGCCAACAAGCTGTAAAAAGCACACATTCTAATATTTAAGTACATGTATATTCTGAAGACAGAAGTTCATTTCTTTGTATTTTCAGAATTTTTGCATCAGTGGTGATTTTTCTTGCAAAAACATTTTCTTGTATGGGCTTCCATTGTAAACTAGTTCTGGTTTCTGTTTTGTTCTTCACTATTACTGAGTGGCCCAAAATCAAATTCCACAAGGGACATCGGAAACAGAAGCTCTTCAGCCAGATAACAAGAGCTTGTCGGTTCTTCTTTTAAACCAGCTTACATCTGAAATCATGCATCAAGGGACACCTGTGGTCTTCTTCAATCAATGAAGCTCCTTGTAATCATATGACCTTGACAGTACTGGTGTAATTTTACCAACTCCACCAAATAAATAAATACTTTTATTAAATTAAATAATATAAAGGGGTTCCCATTAATAACTTATTAGCAATCCGTATAATCTGTTGAAATGCTGTTTAAAGTTGGTTGTATTTTCAGCATGTGGATTAAAATTATCCGACTTGACCCTTGGCCAAATCGGTTGTTTTGGCACATCTGTTCTCTCGGATAAAAATGAAAACACTGATTTTACTATACAATCTTATTTACTTATTGTTAATATACAATATTATATGATATAGTGTACTACTTACAGCTTTGATCTCACGTTCCTGTAATGTAGCACAACACATATAGTCCGCATCAACAAATGGACATTTTAATTCTGGTTCCTCATTATACAGTATTGCATCCTTCAGACAGTCCCTATTAACAGATGCAAACTTAATGTCATGCATAATACTTAAATTCATCACAATGGACCTTTTTTATGGCATTTTTTCTACGTTTTCAATGTTAAAACATCTTTTAATTGTTAAATAAGAGCTTCAATGTCATGGGTTGAGCATAACACTCCGGAACAAAAATAATCTTTAAAGGCACTACGATCAGTTATTTGCATTGGACTCTACATATTTAGTAATTTATAAAAACTCAAGCTGCTCTTAATAAAAACAACATACAGTGTATAAATGGAAAATATTTTTTCTCCTTCACAGAAATAACATTCATTTCAGATTGAAAACCTGGAGTTGATGTTTTTGAATTTAGAAATACTCATCTCTTCATCTCATCTGATTTTATTCAGTATTCAGATATAGATGTCTAATATTTTGTATAGTGTAATGTTATGGAGCTGATTTTGACCAGAATTGTCTATATCTTATATTGACTTAGATAGGTATACTTTGTTAATTTTATTTACATTATAATACAAAATAAAATCCAAGATACCTTTGCATAATTCAAGGAGTAAAACTTATCTCTGTATATTCTACTTCAAATATATAATTAATGAGCTTTAAAACATTTGCATGTATTCCTGGAATAAACCACATATCCAGGAGATACCCCTAAATATCTTACTTGCAGAATGAATGTAAACATTCCCTCAGGACCACACCCTCTCCTGCATCATAATCATCAAAGCAGATAGAGCAGGTAAATGCCTCTCTATTTGGGATAAGATCTTGCTCATCCACTTCCCGGAGGTACGCAAAATTTTTCAACTGCTCACGTTCCCTTAATATTCTCTCCTTCTCTGCTGCCTGAATAAAAGGGAAATTAATTTTTGTATTGTCATCTTTCAAGTAAAATTTCATTTTATGCATAACTGGGTTAAAATCCTTTGCAAAACGGTTTTCACCTTGTGCAAAAAACGGTTAACTCCTTAGGGGAAAAATGGGTTTTCACCTTAGTGAAAAAAACGGTTCCCATTATGGTTTTAATCCATTTTTGTTTAAAAAGGACTAACCCCTTATTGCACGGGGGACGATACCTCTCAAATAAAAAAAATTTTATACCTTGAAAATGGAAGTGTCACTCATTGTTTTGTTCTGCATCAACTCTTTATACCCTGAGCAGTAATAATTGCTGACCGATACTACAACTCAAGAGCTAAGCCAGTCTTCCTGTCTGTGCAGGACAGATTAATTATGAAATACATTTACTAGTAATGCTTAAATATTACTATAACTCATATAGTATAGGTTACCATTTAATTTTGTTTCAACAAATTTCCTTTGCCATTGGCATCTTTGTAAAAAAACAAAAAACAGTTGTAATATAGCAAATTCAATCATACAATTAGAAAGCCACTGTGTGTTGTTTTTTTGTTGTTGTTTTTTTTGTCAGTATAAATCTGTAAAATAAACTTTGTTTGCCTTTAGTTATATGTATTGATGCCTTTATAGTAACTTGTAATGATGCAGTTAGTTTCAAGTACATGTACATGTGTAGATGCCTTTATATACATGTATAGATAGTCATTTGAAAAAAATGAACATTAAATATGTCTTCCAATTACACTTTTAACTTGTTAAGTTTGTAGTTAAAGCAGAGTTAATATTCGAAACAACTATCTGGCAACTCTGAAATTATTACGGTGCTGTATATCTTTAGTACACATGTGTACATCATCCAATTAGTTTCCCTACATAAAAGAATTCAATGTCAAAACCACCTGAATAAATTTTGATGGCTAAGCATCAATTAACAGATTGGGAGCATGTTACGTTTGTCCTGTCTGACTGCAATGGCCTTATCATGTTACAAGCTAGAATGTTCACATTTTGACAAGAGTTTCATTTTGACATACTGAATAACAATTTAAACTTGGCCCCATAATAACTTTGACATTAAAGATTAATTTTTTTAAATGCAGGTAAATTCAACATACTTTTGTAGATTTTGGAATAGGCTTTAACATGTTTTGAACACATAATGGTCACCTTTTAGTCATTTCATCTTTTACTCAAACATACATGTATAACAACAGTGTTTAGTTCATATGGAACTTTGTCTTTCCTTAATACCTCAAAAGGAAAACCTTATTTGCAGCATCATTCACTATTTTCAGACAGAAGAATGAATTTCAGATGATCCCCAAACTTTCCTTATCGTAACTAGATAACTTCATCACATGAAAGAATGTGAATATTTCTAGCAGGATTTGATCCCAACATGATGAGGGAGAAATAATTTGAAATTAGGGACATTCACTACTTGAGCCAAAGAAATCTTCCAAGCTACACAGACTTCTGTCAATACCTAATATAACTGCTCTGTATCAAACTGCCCTTTGAGTGCTCAGGCAAATTGACATCTGCTAAAAATGTCATTCTGTTAAAATTTAGAATTTTATCTGAATTTTCTTGAAATAAAGTAAAGGGTGACTATCAAAATGATTGGTTCTTGACAAGATGCTGAGGTATATTTTGTGTGGTCTAATATCAAGCTGTTTGCAATAGCCAATGTGACCACTCTCAGAATAAGTAAGGGTTATAATGTTAAACTTCATTTTTGTATTTCTAACTTAAAGGAGGATAGTGCTAAAACAATAACTCACTTGACTGCATTTATTACATAAAAGCATTGTACATCACTTTTATTAAATCATTTATTTCATATGCACAAATCATTACAAATATGGCTGTATAACTCGCTCCAATAAACAAATAAACAAGAGCTGTCAGTAGGACAGAATGCTCAACTATTCTCAGTGCCTGATAGTAACCCAGAGTCTTGATAATATAGAAAGTTGTCCAAGTTCAAAAAGAGCTATAATTCTGTCAAAATCCATGTTACAGGTATAACCCTAAAAAGTGACCTCTTATTTTGCTCTCAAATAAGCATGTGAAATTTCAATCCATTCACTTTATTATTTGAAGATACCAAATTTCACACAAAAATTTAAACCAAAGTGTGACGCCAACACCTGGGTGGGTACAAAAGCTTTACCTAATTCTTCGAAAAGTCAAGCTAAAAAATCAAACATACTTGAAAAGGGCACATATATACATGTATATATATCATGTGAAGATAATACTGTTCATTTGCAACATCTTATTATAATATTCCTGTTGATTTTTATGACCTTACATCAAAGATGGTCCAATAAAAAACCTTATAATAGATTGTCTTGTATAATAAAACTGTTTTGTTTAGAAAAAATACACACATTAATGAGATTCTCTTATCTTACCTCACAGCAGAACAGAAAAAAAGCATATTTTATGAATATACAAAAGTATTCAAGCCTTTAAACATAAATAAGTCACACTCAATGCAACAACATGTACTTTTTAAAATTAACAATGGTAAAATGTTCCATTTACTTTTCTCAGCAATAATAAGCAGTACATCTACTTTCAAAACATTTATACATTGTACAAATATATTTGCTGTAATAAAAAGGAGTGATACATCAATCACAAAGTAAAAATAATCCTTGCTGCCCTATATAAGAAACATTAAGTGTAAACAGATTATGAGAGATACATCAATTGCACATCTTTTTACAAGAGGGCCATGATGGCCCTGAGGTCGCTCACCTGTATATAGCCCCCCCCCCCCCCCCCCCTGGGCCAATTTTTACCCAAGGGCTTTTATTTGTTTATTTGAACAGACTTGGTAGACACCCATAAGAAGATGTTTCATGCTAAACATCTAAGTTCTAGCTCATTGGGTTTTTTTAAAAGAAGATTTTTAAGTTTTTACTATACACATATAGTTAAAAACAACGACACCCTGGCGGCAGGGCCAGTTTTGACCCCCGAGATTTTATTTGAACAAACTTTGTAGATATTTACTTAAAGATGTTTCATGCTTAATATCTAAACTCTAGCTATTTGGGTTTTTTCAAAGAAGATTTTTAAGTTTTTGCTATACACATATAAGGAAAATCAATGACACCCGGGGCGAGGCCAGTTTTGACCCCAGGGCTTTTATTTGAACATACTTGGTAGACACCCATTAGAACATGTTTCATACAAAATATCTTAGCTCTAGCTCTTTGGGTTCTTTAAAAGAAGATTTTTTAAGTTTTAACTATATGCATATAGGGAAAATCAATGACGCCCTGGGGCGGGGCCAATTTTGACCCCAGGGCTTTTATTTGAACAAACTTGGTAGACATTCACTAGAAGATAATTCATGCCAAATATCTAAGCTCTAGCTCTTATGGTTCTTTAAAAGAAGATTTTTTAAGTTTTCACTATATGCATATAGGGAAAATCAATGACCCCCCGGGGCGGGCCAATTTTGACCCCAGGGCTTTTATTTGAACAAACTTGGTAGACACTCACTAGAAGATGTTTCATGCTAAATATCTTAGCTCCAGCTCTTTGGGTTCTTTAAAAGAAGATTTTTAAAGTTTTTACTACATGCATATAGGGAAAATCTATGACCCCCCTGGGGCAGGGCCAATTTTGACCTCAGGGCTTTTATTTGAACAAACTTGGTAGACACTCACTAGAAGATGTTTCATGCTAAATATCATAGCTCCAGCTCTTTGGGTTCTTTAAAAGAAGATTTTTAAAGTTTTTACTACATGCATATAGGGAAAATCTATGACCCCCCTGGGGCAGGGCCAATTTTGACCCCAGGGCTTTTATTTGAACAAACTTGGTAGACATTCATTAGAAGATGTTTCATGCAAAATATCTTAGCTCTAGCTCTTTGGGTTCTTTAAAAGAAGATTTTTTAAGTTTTTACTATATGCATATAGGGAAAATCAATGACGCCCTGGGGCGGGGCCAATTTCGACCCCGGAGCTTTTATTTGAACAAACTTGGTAGACACTCACTATGTTTCATGCCAAATATCTTAGCTCTAGCTCTTTGGGTTCTTTAAAAGAAGATTTTTTAAGTTTTTACTATATGCATATAGGGAAAATCAATGACCCCCCTGGGGCGGGGCCAATTTTGACCCCAGGGCTTTTATTTGAACAAACTTGGTAGACTTTCACTAGAAGATGTTTCATGCCAAATATCTAAGCTCTAGCTCTTTGGGTTCTTTAAAAGAAGATTTTTTAAGTTTTTACTATATGCATATAGGGAAAATCAATAACCCCCCGGGGCAGGGCCAATTTTGACCCCAGGGCTTTAATTTGAACAAACTTGGTAGACACTCATTAGAAGATGTTTCATGCCAAATATCTAAGCTCTAGCTCTTAGGGTTGTTTAATAGATGATATTTAAAGATTTTTCTTCCGGTTGCCATGGCAACCAGAGTTCTGCATGGAATTAAATTCTTTGAACAATTTTTAAAGGTGACCACCAAAGGAACATTCCTGTGAAGTTTGGATGAAATTGGCTCAGTGGTTTATGAGGAGATGTCATTTAAAGCAAAAGTTTACGGACGGACGGACGACGGACGGACGATGGACGGACGGACGGACGCCGGACGAAAAGTGATCACAAAAGCTCACCCTGTCACTTTGTGACAGGTGAGCTAAAAATGGACAAGCACATTAAGTGTCGTATTGACTGTTTCTTCTAATCAAGAATAAATATGTTCACTATCCGAGTCTATTTCCCCTGCCGAACCACGCCTGAAATTAGTCGCTTCAACAGATCTTGGAGAATTGTGCTGTGGCGACCTACTAGATGGCATTCTTTGAAGCGTGTCTTGCAATGCATCATGGAATTGTAATAAATTGTCAAGGTCACGTTCAGAGTCGCTGTCGTATTTTCTGTCCTGGCTGCCCGGTGGTACCTGCAACACAGGAGAGATAATCTGACAACAACCCGTTGCTATAGCAACCATGACAATTTACAACACTTCCTTGCATAATAATTTGAATGTTTTGATTGTGTAACTATCTTGTCCAACTGAATATTACTATAAAATGTTGCAAATTTCTTTATGTTAACACGAGTTTCCGAAGACGTTCTATAAAATCTATAAATGGAAGATGAAAAGAACAATTATTTAATTCCCATTTTATCTGTAACTAACATTTTATAAACTGAATTTTTAACTTTACCTCTCTTGTTTTTCTTTCAATGAGTGCATCTAGCTCCATACGATTTCTTTCTTCCTCAGTTAATTGGTAATCTGATGGTATTTCATAATCAGCAGGTCTGTCACTGGCACAAACCTCGCATCCAGGACGTGTTGGTTGGTTGATGTATGTACATGCTGGACACGCCCATCCTTGCTGAAGAACACAAACCAAAAAACAGTGTTCAGACTGAATGTTTAGTACTAATAATCATTATCTAAATTACTGAAATTTTGCCTGTTTTGCCAGAACAAAATACAATCCAGAGTATAAAACAGGTATTTTTTATAAAATATCTTTGATACAAAGTAACTGCGAGGGTGGGTACATTTTCCCCCCGGGTACCTGAATCATAAAAGTTTTGATGAGGTCTTCTTGGCAAGGATACATGCCAAATATCTTAGCTCTGGACATTGTACTTTTCCACTATGTTTTCTTGTAATTATATTAATCTATATACATGTTAACTACAAGACCTTGGGCCAGGGTCAATTTTAAAGTTTACTTAAATACAGTAATAACAGAGCTTAAAAGACATTTCATGTTTCAGTCTGACGTTGGCCAGAGGAAGTCCAAACCTGTGTTCTGCACATAGTCTCATTATGAGTAACATTTCTGTCAAATATTTTTAATTGCCTTATATTGGTTAAAAAAAAAAAATTAACACAAAATTGTTTAATCTGATAAGGGAGTGCAACCTTACCCTTGAGCCAAAGCAGCCCCAGAATGTGCTTTGCACATTGTCTCATTATGTTAACATTATAAACATTTCTACTCTACAATTTTAATATCCTTCTTTTAGGGTAAGAGATACAAGGCAGACACAAAATATCATGACTAAGTGTGACCTTGACCTGACAAAGCCCCAAACTAATTCTGCAAATTGTCTTCTTATGTTAAGAGTAATGGATACTACCTAGTAGTTTCGATTTTCATCTACTTAAAAAATAAAGAGCGGACATAAAATTGCAGACACAGACATGCAAATGACCAGATGCATAATATTTAAGGAAGGTTAATTCCTTCGGGCTTCAGAAAAGGCTTTTTTAAATAAAATCTGGTTAACTTTTACAAATCATGAAACAAAATATCTTAGAAAATATAATTAAAAGTTTAAAATTTTCAAACCAGAAAAGGCTTAAACAATGTTTTGTTGTGCAGTGATGTTACAGTTTGGCATATCTGATCAGGCAATTTAAACAGGCAAATTCACTTGCCCTTGAATAAATATCAAATATGAAGAATATATATTGATGCATTACGGAACAGAAATAACAGATATTTTATACCTGAGGCTCCTCATTTTCTTCAGGATGCATGACAGGTACCCGTTGTCTTGACTCCCCATATGGCGTATCATTTATATGCTCCATGTAGGCTCCTAACTGAGGTTCGATCGCAGCAAGACCGTGTACAATTTCCTCGGCACTCTGCTGAACGGCGTTATGTTCGTACTTCACTCTCGATCCCTGCGCTACAGGAAGTTTCTCTGGAGTACGCTTTTCATTTCTCCCTGATATATTTATATTAGGATCTAAAGTTTGTGGCTCCTACAAATAGGGGGGAAAAACAGTATTAAGTACTTGTGTTAGGGAAAAGTGTAATTTAAAGATATTTTACTATTAAAATTTCCCGTTATGAATCTTTATAAAATTTATATGATGCTATTTAAATCACATGACCAAGACATTACCCAGCAAACACCTTATGTTAGATCAATGTTGGATCACAATTGACTATATGTCACAACGTAAAAACCTGAATATGATGTTGAAAAACATTGTATGTGTTTGATTTACATGTAAGTCATTAATGACATCTGATTGATGTTGGATTTCAACATTTTAAAAAAAAACTTTCCTATTCAACTACATTCAAGTGTCTATCCAGCGTTAGGCTCCAATGTCCAACCAATGTTGATAAAAAGTCACGAGTTTGATGGGTAAAAACTAAATGTTATAGTCTTTTTAAAAGTATCATATTTCTTACAACCATAATAAAAGGAGTGAAAAAATGTAAATGTCCGACTTTAAGAAATGAATGTAGAGTGAATGTTTATAATAATATAATATTGTTTGTGGTTACATGAAATGTTATCTAACAGTAAGTATATCACAAATGTTTGGCTCTTTACTCTGTTACTTGCACCTTCACATAAAAGTGTCAAAGTTTGAGCACAAATGGTTTCGAAAATATCTATAAGCTTACCATTCTTGGTTTACCAGTAGATGCTGAACTGGTAGCACCGGACTGTGGTGTCGCTGATGATCCTAATCTGCCATGTGTTGGAATCATTTCAGGATTTGGCGCCGGTGTTTTCGGTGTATGCGACATAGCTAAATCTTAATAACAAATAATTAAATGACAATATATAATATTTATTCAGAATTTCTTATAGTAAGTTATCTCATGGGGCAGAAAATTACTTAAACATCATGGAATGAATTATACTCTTGTTATACATATGTGTATTCAATTATCAACACTTATCTTTAACAGCTTAATCTTATTACATTTTTATATATCTAATCATTTCAAATTGTTCTTAAGTAAGCTATAAAATAAACTATTAACCAGACACAACTTATACAAACAATACATTAATACTAGTATTACATACTTGCTTTTTAGCAAACAATATGATATTAATGCATCACATTAAATGCCCTGTACTGCGAAACTAAACATTACATCTTACATTATAAAATATGAACACTTGATGCCCTGTACTGCGAAACTAAACATTACGTCTAACATTATAAAATATGAACACTTGATGCCCTGTATTGCGAAACTAAACATTACGTCTAACATTATAAAATATGAACACTTGATGCCCTGTACTGCGAAACTAAACATTACGTCTTACATTATAAAATATGAACACTTGATGCCCTGTTCTGCGAAACTAAACATTACATCTTACATTATAAAATATGAACACTTGATGCCCTGTACTGCGAAACTAAACATTACGTCTAACATTATAAAATATGAACACTTGATGCCCTGTACTGCGAAACTAAACATTACGTCTAACATTATAAAATATGAACACTTGATGCCCTGTACTGCGAAACTAAACATTACCTCTTACATTATAAAATATGAACACTTGATGCCCTGTACTGCAAAACTTAACATTACATCTTACATTATAAAATATGAACACTTGATGCCCTGTACTGCAAAACTAAACATTACATCTTACATTATAAAATATGAACACTTGATGCCCTGTACTGCAAAACTAAACATTACATCTTACATTATAAAATATGAACACTTGCCCTAAACACCACATATGAAGTCTGAAGACTTACCTTGGCAAGTGACACTGAACTGTACAACTTACATTTATAATATTCACATTTGTCCTGCCATGTGACACTAAACACTTCACATAAAATCTCGACACTAAACACTACTGCTAAAATTTACATTCTAAACTCTTAACATAGCATGTTCCATTTCATACTACACCTTAAAATTAAAAATAAGTTCTTAAACACTAGGCTTAGCATGACAATCATAAAATCTGAACACTTGCCCTGGCATGTGGCGATACATGTCTACTACACCTTAACTACAAGATCTCATACCTGCTTTGTGAGGCACATTTTGTCTCATAAAGTCCTCCTTGTTGATCCCAGCAGCCTTGGCTGAGATAAGATAAAGAAATGCCGTAAAACCGTGAGTCTTTATCTTACACTTATCCAGTGTCTCGTTATCCTGTGGTATTCGTTTACCAATGATCCAGTACTGAACCTCCAGTGGAAACATGTGTTTTCGTAACATCTAGGAAATTAAAGGAAAAAAATAAGTTTAAATCTTTATCATTTTGATTAATAAACATCTTTAAACAATTTTTTATTGTTTGTTTTTTGTGTGTGTTATTTTTAGGGCCGGGAATTATATTTGAATATTCGAAACACTACCGAATATTCGAACATTGAAAAACAAATACAAATATATTGTATTCGAAAAAACCCGAAATGTTTTGATTTTTTAAAATAAAAACCTGTTATCACAATATGAATCTCCAGAAAAAAGTAACCAATGAACGAGCATCTGAATATGATATTTCTATTGCTATCCCTTTCTCTGCCGTGAAAATAAGTAAACTCCAAGAAAAATGAGCCAATCAATGGGAATGCTCTGGAGTGCAGGTAACTAATACCTGCACTCCAGTTATTACACTGTACATGCATATGTATCGATTTAACACTGACACATTTTCTACAGAAAGGTCCCCAATATAATATACAAACAATAATACAAGGAAGACAGACAAAACCCCACACGTCAAAACCCCACACCTAAATTTTATAGAGTGGACATAACCCCACACTTTTTATAACTAATATGTATAGACCTTTGACTGACAATAAGATAATACAAATGTATATAAACCACAATAATTATACAAACTGACAGGACATAAATGTATATAAACTGTCTGGTGGTAACATTTATCTAGATTTTAACAAATGTATTTTGAAATCTAATATTATCATAATTAAATCTTTTCTGAATGTTGTTACCATATTTTTGAGATCTCTTATTGTATCAGAAGCTTTAACTTTTAGCGTAATAGTGCCTCCAGATGATTCCTTGTCCTCAATGTTCACCTTTAAACTGAAATAAAGACAAAACACATGACTGTAAAACAATTATTCCCCTATAAAGTAAACACATACTGTATTTCAGAGGTCAGAATGTAAGATTGGAGATGTGCATCAGTAATTTATTTTTTTGTTATTTGTTTATGCTGCACCAACACTGTAAAGGTGATATGGTGACTTTCTGTTTTACTGGTGGAGGAAGACCTCAGATACCCCTCTGTACCCAAGTAGAGCCACTGACGTACCGTAAGATAGCTGGACAGCTTCCTCACATAAAAGAATCCAAAGGCGGGATTCAAACCCTCAGCAGTGACGCGCAAGTGGCTTGAAGTCAACAACCTTAATCACTAGGCTAAGGACACCCCACACCAGTAAGTGAAATGTTAAACTGTCCAATTTCTTAATTTAACCCTTAACCTGCTGATTTTGTATAAGGCATTTTTAACAATAATGCCTAAAAATACAGATGCTATATAACGCAAATACAATTCATGCTATGTTACTTAAATAAGTAAACTTACTCAAATTCCTTATCTCCCTTGACAAGTATGTCCTTTTTGTTTGGAGATAAATACATATGAACAACAACAATCTAGTTATAAAACATACCCTTATTATCAATTAAGATAGGATATGTAAGCAAAATTTTGCCAAATACAAAATGTATATATATAACCCCCTTGTAGCTGAAAGGTTTCCTTTAACGGTTGAGGCATCAGAATTGCAGCCACCATTTATACCTGTGTGAGCGTAAGAGCCTTAGAGGCAACTAAATGGGTTTGAATTACTTAAGTCTGTGTATCTCTTACCTTGAGCAGGTGATGTAGTTTTAACCCCTGGTGCTTTTTTAAGTTTGTAACACCCGGGGTTAGCCAAAATCATCTTTCCTGTTTATGGCACAATATGACCTAACATGTGTTGGTGCACCGTTAAGCAAAGCAAAAGTTTATATTTTATATTATTATAAATGTAAATGTATAAACTCACTCAAAATCTTTATCTCTCTCATTTGGAATATGTGTCCTCAGTTTAACATCAATTGTTACAGTCACATTCTCATCACCTGCAAGCTGTCTCGCATAATCCTCGGCACGAGCCAGATCCGTATTATTAATAGCAGTCTGCAATAACTGAGCAACTTCCTGCGCTCTGTGTAATCTAGGATTGGCTTGACCATGTTGCGCCATACCTGTCCTATTCTCCTCTTCTTTCTGATATGCTTTCTTATTATCTCCAGCTACAAATCCCATTGGAATATATAATTCTTCTGTTTGTAAGAATTCTGAGGCAAGTCTTTCAGCAGATTCATTCTTTTGAAACGTATTTATTACTAATTTCCCATCAGGTATATTGTCTCCACGTACAAACGGACTATTTTTATTATCTTCTGAAATACAACAATCAGTTATAATGTCCGAGTGCCTCGATTGCTTTCTCTTTTTCTCTTCTGAATTAACCTGAGCAGATCTCAGAATAGATTCTAACCTTTGTGGTAGTTCGTTTGGATGAATGTGCAGACTGTCACACAAATAATTTATACTTTTTGAAACTGCTGAGTCATGTATTGAATCATTCACAGACTTGTTCTCTTTATTTTCTTCTTTTTCATGACCATGTGGTGACCAGTCAGCAAGGTCAAATGGATCTGTTAATGAAAAGTGTTCTGGACTTTTTCTGTCCTCCTTTACTGGAGAGTTTTCATCACTACTTAATGACTGTTCAGAGTGTGTAGGTGTGATTGTACCCTCTCCAATTAAATTGAGGTTATACAAGGACAATCTGCTGTTTCTGTTATGACTTAATGTACTTTTTCTCTTCTCTAAATTGGTCTGTACAGCAAGGAGAATGTAGGCTATATAATCAAATAGACAAAAGATAAGTTAAACTGATAATAAAGAAAACAAATAATTATCGGTAAGAATAAAATAATTAATTACTGTAAAATCTGGTAAATAAACATACAATACTTAAATTTTAAAATGATTGTCATTGCAGTGGTATTTTTATGTGCCTATTTTTTAATGAAGTTAAGCTTAAGCAAAACAAATTCTGTTAAAAAGAACTAGTATTTATTGTATAGACAATACCTTTATAGCTAATGCAAACCTTATGGACATATATTTACTTATCTATTTCTAAATTTTACAAGAAATAATGTGATATTTATGTATTTTGGCGATTTATATCCTCCCTATTGTTTAAAATGTACATGCATATCATTTTGTGAATTAACTACTGTTTAAACTAAACTCAAACTGATATACACCATTGTTTGGTACAAACTTTCATCTTACTTTTCTTTATCTTAGAGCCTTCAACACTATTCACAAGCAGAAGGATGTTTTTTATTTTATCCTCCAACTCCCAGTACTTCTCCTCCTCCTCCTCGTCAAACTTGAAGAAAAAATGTCGCCAGATATCACCACTTTTGTGACTGAATTCGTGCCAAAATTTATCACGGATTTGGTAACTAAAGTCGCCTTTCTTTGGGCTCAAAACTGCACTAAGACATATCTGAAAATATATCATTTTCCATAGATTTTTACTTTATAAATTATATCAAACAGGACAATTTGCAAATAAATCACTTAAGTAGCATTTAAACATCAAATCCATAGCATCATTATCTGGAGTATGGAGAAAATATTGGAGACAACTATTCTATTAAGCAGCTCAAGTTTAGCATTTTAAAATAAACATTTACTACCAGTGGTTCAGTTTCGGCAACAGACCTGTTCCAACTCATTCAATGTCGTTTTTCTAGATAAACGGCAATTCATAAGAAAATGACCTGCCAATAGATGGTTAGACACACATTGCATTATATTATCAACAAAAATTTCAAAAGTCAGTAATATTTCAATGAAAACGGCATTAAAGAAACTGGCACTGGCCCTGTACCGGAACTGGTTACTTGACTGTACTATAAAGGCTATATTGATTTTTTATCCTTACCTGAGGCTAAATATCTTAAATGGACTTTTTCTTCCCTAATTGTGGGCAGAATTTACAATCATCACTTTTAGTGTAAAATTTCAAAATATGTACTGAATGAATAGTAAACTGAGTGCAGACGGCATAGCTGTGCTCCATGATCTTGGTCTGCACTGGTTGCATTGTTAGAACAGTTGTCACCAGCAGGCAAAAAGATAAGATGATAAAAAATCAAAGCAATACAAGTCTGTTATGTTAGTAAAGTTGAGTAAAAAGAGATAAGCAGTTTTCCTATCAAAATCTGACAATAATTTGCTACAATGTATATTACATCCTGGTCTAAAAATAGATTAAGTGAGTCAACACAGTTGATATTTATAACTACAACTCAATCTCATATTTAAGGTGTTCAACTACCTTTCATTTAGCAAGTTTCAAGCATAAAGTAAAGCAATGTAAATGATGAGATTAAAATATCACAGTGAAACCTATTCTAGTTTGTTTTACTTTATATATACATTGTACGTGTACAAGATTATCAATTCTGCATAGTTTGTTTGGTTGTTTTAAGTCACACCGACACAGTATAGGTCATATGGTGACTTTCCAGCTTTACTGGTGGAGGTGCACTTCTATGCCATAACTTGATTTCCGTATGGTAAAGTTTGTTTAAATTTTGCATACAGGTGTACTTTAAGGTATATATCTGACCTATGATATAATTTTTTCAGTTCCTTATAGTGCCCGTTAGGGTGATAATACCTTAAATGATTTATAAACCTGACCATATTTGAGGATACAAACAGAGGAAATTAAATCTTAAAACCATAACAAGTACTTTTGTCATGAAAAATTGACATTAAAACTTCCTGTTGTCTCAAATTCCAAAATTTAAGTTTCAAATAGTTAAACCTTAGATAAAATGTAAAAATTAGACAAGTCCTGTTTCTTGCTTGTAATCTTACTATGTATACCCACAACTTATTCGCATTATCATTGAAGTTTTTGCGGGTTTTTTTTGTACTGATATTAGACCAAAGATATCAAATGATGATATCAACTATATCATCTTGTAAGAATAACAAACAGGTTTTTAAAGTGTACAGAGAAAATAAAATACAATGATTAAATACAAATGCAAATATAAAACAAAGTTTTCGAAACTTTTTTTATTGAAATTTGCTCCTTACCTTAGATAAAAAGAAGATCTGGACTTTGCTCCTCGTATTTTTTACTGCTGAATCTTTTATCATTCTTCACAGGTTATAATAAATCATTATGTAAATCACATAAAATCTTTAAAGCATTAAACCCTTGAATTCAAGAGCAGATATTCTCTTATCTTAAAATCAATTTAATACCTGAATTTCTTTTGCATTTAAGAAAAAATGCAGTTTGTACGTAATATATTCATGTGAGGAAGCTATCCAGCTAGCTTACGGAAGGTCGGTGGTTCTACTCAGGTGCCCGTTCGTGCCTGAAATAATGCACGGACTGGGGCACCTGAGGTCTTCCTCCACCAGTAAAGCTGGAATGTCGCGATATGACCTATACTGTGTCGACGTGACGTAAAACCCAAAAACAAACAAAAAACAAACAAACGTAATATATATTACGATATCTATCTACAAAGGAGCCAAGAATGTAAAAAAAAAAGATGATTAAAAAACTATATGAACATTAAAAACATTCAATATTATCTGAACATTATTATAATGTCATTTATAATACAGCATGTTTGAATTGTTGCTTTTCATTGGATAATCATATGTTTATTTAAATATATACATGGCTACATGTATGAAGAAACTTATTTTTATTTTTCTCTACTTAAGGAAAATTGCACTGTATGAGTAATTTGTTTGAAAGATTCTTGACAGGTTATATGGCTGTAAATAAATGGTTGTTAAAATGCAATATAAACTAGCACTTCTGAATATATATGAAAACAACTTTTTATATTAGGGCCATGTGTGACCTGTTAAAAAAATCCTTATAACAAATATAAGAATAGGTAAGAAAACAATTAACATTATTAAAGGGACTCCACTGAGGTTTAAAGGTCTAAAAACATAACATTTGAATTTCTTACATAAATGAGCTGGGGCACTTTAAACAGAAATATATGCAAAGACAGTGAAGAAATATACTTTGAAATAAATTGGAAATCGTATTTTTTATTCAAGAAACATAATTGTAGTAACCACCTTGTCCTTTTGTCATTTCTTAATATATTTCTGAAAGTATCCAATATATACCGGTAATATGATACAATACTATAATACAATACAATATGATATGATAAGATACAATATGATACAATAAGATACGATAAGAAACAATATGATTTAATATGAAAGGATAAGATACAATATGATACAATACAATATGATACGATAAGATACAATACAATACAATATGTTATGATAAGATACAATATGATACAATAAGATACGATAAGAAACAATATGATTTAATATGAAAGGATAAGATACAATATGATACAATACAATAAGATACAATAAGATACAATACAATACAATATGTTATGATAAGATACAACATGATAAGATACAATACAATACTACACCTCACAATCCTGGCCTGTATCATCGAACATGAACTGAGAGCTGGGAGACAGTCCCGTCACCTCACATATGTGTAAAATACAATGTTTACTCCATTGAAGTGTCTCCCCGGACACACACACCTCCTTTATTGCCCCGAACTCATCAAGTTTCACCGATGGCTCGGGACAATACAAATCGCAAGGACAATGTGTTATAGAATGATCTTTAATTAAACGATCTGAGCAGAAAGACTGTCTCTTCTTCTTTTTACCTATTCTTAAAGGCATGTCTGTTAATTGTAACTGTTTTGTATATACAGTCAAAGTCTTTAAACACCACTGATATAATATTCAAATAAAACAAAGGAGTTATTTTAAGAGTATTATCACTGTTTTTTGTTTAATGTCACCGTAATCTAGGATTGCCGGTACATTTAAATACATCTTATTTCTATGTCACTATTTAATATAATTTAGCTGTCAATATTCAAAATTTAATTGTTTTCTATATCTCAGCTAATTAGTGTCAGTCTCATTTTGCAATTCTTAAAAGGAAAAAATATCCAATTTTAAATCCAGTTCCATTATATCTAATTCAACCAAATAATCATACACACAACGCAACTATCCTATTAAAAAGCTGTTTGTAAATGCCAAATAAATAGCGATCAACCTCTAGATTGGCCTACACTTCCTTGTCAATTGTATTTTACTCAATTTAAAATACAAAATCTTTCATCTCTGACATTTAACTCTTAAATAAACATGAAGAAATCAAAAGACGAAAGCAATGGTAAATACCCACACTGAATTTATTCATTTCTAAAAATAGACCTTTACAAATCATTTGCTTAATCTCTGGAACAAAAATTTCTATTTTCTTTTTCTTCAATTTAAACAGGTTTAACTCCTTTTCTAACAATTATGTATAGGTTTAACTCCTTTTATAGGTTTAACTCCTTTTCCAACAATTATTATAGGTTTAACTCGTTTTCCAACAAATTTTATAGGTTTAACTCCTTTCTCAACATTTTGTTATAGGTTTAACTCCTTTTCAAACAAGTTTTGTTGGTTTAACTCCTTTTTAAAACAATTTTTACAGGTTTAACTCTTTTTCCAACAAATTTTACAGGTTTAACTCCTTTTCCCACAAGTTAAACAGGTTTAACTCCTTTTCCAACAGATTTTTTATAGGTTTAACTCCTTTTCCAACAATTTTTATAGGTTTAACTCATTTTCCAACAAGTATAATAGGTTCGACACATTTTCCAACAAATTTTACAGACTTAACTTGTTTTCCAACAAGTTTATTTTGTTTACCAATACATTTTACAGGTTAAACTCCTTTTCCAAAAGTTAATCCAACAATATTATTACAATTCAACATTATCTAGATGATTCATTTCATTACGGTGACGAAAATTACTAATCACAAAACAAATGAATGTTGTGTGAACTTTAATCTATATAATGACATAAAAGGTTTTTTTACTATTTGTAACCTATTATATATACTTGTATTGTAAATGTCAGCCATTTACATTCTTGATAGGTTTTTATTAACTTCCTTGTTTCTATAAATTAATGGCTTAGGTGATTACCCAAATGTCATAATAACAATAATACCTTTATTATATTAACTTTACATAGTGTTATGAATGAGTGGTCTACATGTATATGATTTATTTGATACTAATTTATAGTTTATATACACTCTCATGTACAAAAAGCTGTCAGGGCTTTCTGTGTCATCTATAGCTATGTCAGTGACTTGAAAAGTTTTTGAGTAAAAAAACAAGAGCGATCAGTGATCATGTGTCGTCTCATGATGGCCAATTTCAAGTCGGGACAAGTTTTGTGACAGACGGACAGACAGACAGACAGTGAAACAACTAGCCTTGGTACTGATCATTCCTGTAAAGTTTGGATAAAATTGCACCAGTAGTTTATGAGGAGTAGTCCGGACAAGCTTTTGTGTATCTGGCAACACACAGAAAAAACCACCTTTTTATCACAGGGCCGTAACTTGGCCAAAAATCATTCAACCGGAAAACCCGTGCAATATGCGCAAGGACTTGAGCTACAGATCAATCCTGTAAAGTTTCATTGAAATTGCATTAGTGGTATAAGAGAAGTAGTCCAGACAAACTTTAAAAATAAAAATTATTAAAGGGCCATAACTCTGACAAAAATCATTGAACCGGAAAATGCTGACAATATGCACAACTAGACTTGGTACTGATCATTCCGGTAAAGTTTGGATGAAATTGCACCAGTAGTTTATGAGGAGTAGTCCGGACAAGTTTTGTGACGGACGGACAGACAGAGAAGTGATCCCTATATGTTGCCACGACTCCGTAGAGGCGACACAAAAATGGCTATTATAGAAAATTTCATTTGATCATAGAAAATGATTTATTTACAGTGTACAAAAAATTTTTATATTAATTTAAAAACGTGTTAAGCAACAGCAACAGTCCTAAACTTATATAATTACCCTCAAGGTAAATTAATCTTCAGTACATTGTAATCTAATTAGAAACAAGTTCGGGTAAAACAAACAGTTGACATATATACATTGTACATTGTCTAGATGTTTTTCCCCTTTCATACCAAACTATGTATATTTTGTTGATCTGTTAAGAAGTTCCTAGACTAAAATTTTCCTTCCTGAAACTTATATAATTACCCTCAAACGTAAATTTATCTTTGGTACATTGTATCTAAGAAGGTCAAATATAACAAACAGCATATATACATTGTGTAGATGTTTTCCTCCCCCTTTCATAACAAAAAAAGTATTAGGTATATTGTAATTTATAAGGAAGTATGGGCTGTTGGAACTAGTTTTAATTCATAACCAATTACCATCAATATACAGTTTCAGGAAGGAAAATATTTCAGATATTATACAAGTCAAGAAACTCTTTAACAGACCAACAAAAAATCTTAACCCAATTCATAACAAACATTCAACACATAAATTACAGACAAGTGCTCAAGTATAGTTGAATTCTGACGGCAAACTTTCACAGCCATGCATAATGTTTGGAACAATTTGCCTTAAGGTAAGAAAACTTTTATTTCAAAATCATGCAAACTGTATAGATTCAAATCAGAGCATAGATGTAAAGGCATGCGTGACTCTATATATATTGCATATTAAACTAATAACATGCTGGGAACATTAAATGTTAATGAAGTAAATACAGCTTCGGGTTTTCTCAAATCTGACTAAAGTTCAGATCTGCTTATTTCTTACATGTAGGAGCGTTATTTAAAACTGATCTCAAACAGATTGAGTTTTTCTCCATCTAACTTTTATAGTATTTATAATAAGATGATGAATTTTTATGACAGTATTTAGAATATGATGATGGAAAATAGAATATGGTGATTAATTTTCTGTTACAATTTATGAATATATGTTTTTTAATGTAGCATGGGACACTGTATTATCAGCAAACTTAACTTTTCCTATATATTTGCATTGAATTTTGTTGATGAATTTAATAATCAATATTTTGTCTGAAGCAGTACAAATTCAACTAAAAATTACATTTATTGAATGAGGTCAAAGATTTTTAACTTTGATATAAGCCTGACCGCACATGATAAAATACTGAGAGTATGTTGGTTATATAGTTGCACTGATAATACAGAGTTTGAGTATAATGTTACAAATTGATTTAAAATACTCTGGTACATATTAATTTTCTTTATCTGTAATTATAATAATACTTTTCTTTATTCAAACAAACTTGAAAGTTATACTAATCTGTATACATATGCCCTTTTAAAATTTGTTAGAGAGTGAGAAGAAAATTCAATTTGTCACACTGGATTCTATGGTAGGTGCATTTAATACATTGGTAATCCTCATTTTTGGTGGGGTATTGCAATGTATCATAATTTTATTTTTTTTCTATAAAAGTTTGATGATATTAGAAAACATCATTCTAGTACTAGAAATATGTTAGCATAACAGAGGGGCAGACAAACAAAGGCAAATCTACATGCCCATGCACCACCCAACCCCAACCTCATCAACCATCCACCTAAGTGGAGGTATAAAACTCATATTTTCTGAAATGCTACTACATGTAATATGAATATACCTTTGTACTGTTCACAAAAACTTAGCTCCTTAAGGGAGTTCTTTTACATTTAACCTGTTATTATATTAAAACATGTAAAAGGATTGGCCTATAGTATAATGTTTCAAATTATTTGTTGATGATATTCTGGCACATTTAAACCTGTATATTTATACCTTTACAGAAAGATCACAAAGACTGTATTACAGCCTTGGTGTATACAAAGCGCAGTTCATTCATAGCCAGATTCAATGGAAAAATAGAAAACTGCAATAGTTTCATTTGTGATAGTTTAAATAAAATGTTAAAGATTTAGATTAAACTTTTAAAAAAGTTAATGAAATAAATTTTGGAATTTTTCCATAAATGATCATTCAAACCTGCTTTACAAAATTGGGGAGCTATTTTTTCCAAATATACATAATAGGAATAATAGGAAACTATTTTTTTTTAATAAACTTAAGAAGTACTGAATTGTTTCAAAACAAATATTAAATTGAAATATATATGAATTTGCTGGCAGATGTTTGATCAGATAATAAGATCAAGGAAATAGTTTGTTTGTTTGTTTGATTTGGGTTTTACGTCACACCGACACAGTATAGGTCATTTGGCGACGTTCCAGCTTTACTGGTGGAGGAAGACCTCAGGTGCCCCTCCGTGCATTTTTTCAGGCATGAACGGGCACCTGAGTAGAACCACCCACGTTCCGTAAGCTAGCTGGATAGCTTACTCACATGAAAGAATCCAAAGTCCCTGTTGGGATTCAAACCCACAGCAGTGAGGGGCAAGTGGTTTGAAGTCAACGACCTTAACAGACACGGACGCCCCAAGGAAATAGTTACCCCACTGGTAATACATGTATATTATGGTTCATATCTAAAAAGATAATGTGACAAAAAGCTTTAAACTTCATGGCATGTGATATTTTATTAAAGAAGAATGAGTATATTTTGAAAATTTAATACCAACTTAAGAAATGTTAGATCTAGATATAATACTGATTTACATGCTGAAAATCAATCTATTGCAGCAGGTATATCATTGTTAGTATGGTGGGTCACACTCACACAGTGAAGGCCATATTACAACTTTTCAAAGTTTACTTGTGGAGTAGACCTCCAAGACCTCTGTGCATTATTTCTGGCATGAGTTTGCACCTTTGGAGTAGAACCACTGAATGAAATAGGCTCTATAGGCTCTTAACGTTTTTCCAGCATTATCTTTTAAATTGTGCAAAATGACCAAAAAATGATTAGTGTTTAAACACTTTAAACTCAAATTGGGTTATGAATCACACAAGATAATAGTGTTCAATTTAACGCTAGCATGCCTCCAGATGAGCCAAAATATTTAAAAAAAAAAAAAAAAACTTGAGAAAAATGTATAAGATTTTAAGAACAGTAAAATGATTCAAGATTCAAAATTTTCAAATAATTAATCTACATAGTACATGTAGTATGTGTGATTAAAGACTGATATCTGCAGTATTTATCACTGTATTTTAACGCAGCTTTTTTGGCATATTTTTTATCTCTTTTTGGTAATTTACGCGGATTGTAAGTGCAATGTGTAAAGTACTTTCTTTGTTTACTTCTCAATATTTTACTTTTAAAAATACATTTGCAAAATTTTCATGAAATTACATATAGCATGAATCTAGAGACATGCTGCTTCAATTCCGAGTTCATATTTGATAATCTTTTGCATATGTTTACATTTTAAGTGCCTAAGTTGACTGATGAATTTTAAAGTCTATGTTTCAAGAATTAATTTGGCCCTCAGCGGAGCTCCTTTATTAAATTTAAAAGATATCTTGTCTGATTACTTTCAATACCAGAATATTACAAAAATTATTGAACCTATACAAAGAATACATTATTGTTTTTTAATTAATAGTTAACCGCTTTCTCTCTATTTCTGACATAAAAATTGATATTCTGCTCAATATATTTATAAATATCTCAGAAGCTGGCCTTAACATTGTTGAGTGTAAACTGTTAAAAGTGAAAGTAGGGCAATTTACAATTTGTAAAATCAATTGTCTTAAAAGATATTTTAAACAAAAATCAATTTTTATCTGGACATTTATGTTCTTTATATTATTCTATCCATAAGAACAGTTCCATTCTTTCATTCATCAAAGTATAGAAAAGATAAAACAAAAAAATGCAACTTGAATTTGTATGGGTTACACATCTGTTTGTATAAGACAAGAAATAACAATTTAATTCAGACTTTTTTTCTTTACATACCTTACATTTCTATTTTGCTAACTATTATAATCATTTTTAATGTGAGTGTACCTAAAATCGATTGTGCAAGCAATTGGTATATGCAAATGTACACATCCGAAATCTATTCCACTAAGGAATGACGTTTACTGACATTCTGTCTAAAAAAATTCAGATGCACTATAATTAGACACCTTTTATTCATGGTCTTTATTTAGATTTTTGTGCTAATATTTGTGTTACCTTTTATTTCAGTTTATGCGTGTTTTCTGGACAATGTTGTTTTGTGAGTCAGAGATTAGTTGTCATGAAACTGGATCGTACGGAATGGAACGGCAAGGTGAAACAAAACACGGAAGTTTCTGTTAGATCTCTCATTTTTTTTTCTTAAAAAAATGACTCAAATTGAATGGGCTATGTGGGCAAATGAACAGGCTCTCACCAGCTGTTCAGGTACTGTATAATAAGCTGAAAAAATCTTATTATTATGTCGGGCAATTAACATTTTTTTCTGAAGTTGTATTGTATTCGGATACTCACAATATGACCAAAAAACAATATGTCACTAGTAAAATGATTTACATGTATTTAAATATTTCTGGACTTGTTGCTTCACAATTATCAAATTTCTAAAATGTTATAGACCCATATGGTTACAATTGTTATTCAAATAAACTATTAATTAAGCATCAATAGTGAACATGTCATGAGTTCTATGTACCAGGTTACTAATTAACATAATTAAGCTGCATACATGCATTCAGTGTATGCATAATGATGGCTCATCTGCCTATTAAGGCACAAACAGTAGCTGTCGAGTACCGAAAACAAGGACATGTTACCAGTCATGCTGTTGAAGGGTGAATTTTGATAATATACCTCTGCCTAATTTCCACCAGACTTCTAATAATATTAGCTCTGTGTTTCCACAGTTTATAGGTGGCACGGCAGCTCAGTTGGTTAGACCACTGACTGTCACTCCTGAGGTCCCGGCTCGATACTGGGTAACACCCTTGAAATTTTTCAGAGACACTTGTAGTGTTTCCAACCTACCTATAGGTGTACTGGTAAGAAATCCAGGTAATCCTTACATGTATAATTGCTATACACTGGGCATGGAAAAGAACCAAAGGTTCTATTCAATAAGAGCTAGGGACTGGTTCCTGGATTCCCTTATATCTCCAAGCTGACTCTGAAGTCTAGAGTCATGTCTAATCCCCGCAAGGGGTTTGACATAAATGGAAGATAGATTGCTAGAGTATATTAGCCAAAGATGTGAATTTTGAGGCGAAAGTAGGTGACTGTACAGGGTCAATGAACACTAAAGATTCGGTGACCTGAGACAATATGAAAAGGTCAGATAGCCCAGATAAAGGTCCATTGTTGCTAGCAAAGGTTATTGCCATTCAAGTCGTTTCTCTGTACTAAGGGGATTTAAGTACCTTCTTCGTTGTCTCTACCTTCTTCCTATGACCATTCCCTTGGTTTCAGTCAGGACATTGACAGCTAAACCCCAGGTACAAGACTTAGTTTTTAGTCTTCAAGTAAAAAGTCTCATGTTGGTAGCAAATATCAAAGGGTGAGAAAAATGTGCAAAACGGAGGGGAGGGGGGGGAGTAAAAGTCTGGTTATCATGCACTATTGTAACCAGTTGATGAAAGAAGAGCTGTACAGGGGTATAGTATCATTATAGTATCGTATCATACATCTGTCCCTTACGCCATAGTTAGAATCACACCAGAGGAGAGAAAATCAGATATTTAGGGGAGACTGGGGTACTCTGGGACATGGGGCACTGCGGGACAATGGGATTTTTTGATAGCTTTTGTTCTTTGATTTAAACCTGATTTATGCAGATGATTGATCTTGTCAAGCCTTTTTCCCTTCAAAAGTTTCATAGCAGCAAATTGAGTAAAAACCAGTCTGGCGAGTACAATGCACTTTTTACCTTCCAAAGTGAAATTCTAGAAAATTCCTATATAGCTTTCAAATTCTTCTACATTGAATACTTATTTGTATCATATTAGTAAATGATAATGTGCTAAACATTGCCTTTATTTTCTGATTTGAAATAAATCTTGGTTTGGTTGTCTTTTTAAATTATTGTCACATAAAAATGGTGGGGGTGGTCGGGGTACTCTGGGACAACACTCTTTTGGGTTAGACTTTCATGTGTATCAAACTCAAATTGACCTTTGATCTTTTATGACCTTGACCGTTAGATTATTGCACTTTCACTGATTTTTGCCATAATTGATTGTAACTTGGTAATTAATAAATGAATTATCTTAATGTTTTGGCAAAACAAAATTTTGGACAAGAACTTCTGAAAGGATAAACTGACCTTGACCTTTGAATGACCTCGACCGTCATGGCCATATTATTGAATTTTGATTGTCGTATTTTGTCATTATGGAAGAATTTGATTCATATTTGGACAAAACAACACTTGTGATCAATGAAACATATGGAATAATTTAGATATGTTCTTGACCTTTAAATGACAATGAACGTCAAATGAATGAATTTAGATTATATTTTCCTAACTTTGTCATTCATTAAGATGGCAATGATTCATGCTTGGACAAAACAAGTGTGACTATACGCACCTATCAAAATTAAAATAAAAAAAGAGAAATTTCAATAGAATTCCTACAGAAAGCCCAAAACAGCAAAATTGAAAATGTTGCAGGCTCAGTTTGATTTCAAGCCTGTTCATAAACAGTAATGGAAAGTGCAATTAACCGCCCCCTCCCCCGCCCCCATCGGCTTAAGCAGAATTCCACATTAAACGTGCACTGGAACATCTAGATTTTTGAAACAACCGCAGATTTTCAATTCCAGTAATATTTTTGTTTCAATGAAATTATACATGTTGTCCTACGTACCCAAGCATGTCCCACTGTACCATATATGGTGTCCCAGAGTGCCCCTAGCTCGGGGTACTCTGGGACATTTTAATGACCGTATTCTAATGTATACCTCCAAGTCAACTTAATTATTTTAGGTTCAGTTAGTTATCTGCTACATCCAGTACATATTGTCCTTTTCATCCACAAAAGAAAGCATCAATCCGTAAGATATGTTAAGTTGGAGATTGAAAATTATGATTTTTGTCCCAGAGTGCCCCAGTCTCCCCTAACTTTCATTTCTTCATTCAACATTGGTGTGATTACTGGTTAAGCACCCAGGAATAAGTTATTTGGTATGACTTCAAAAGTGCTATGTCTATGTCCCTTTTGGAAAACAATATTTGGTGACATTCATGGATGTAAATCTTTAAATTTTTATTCATTTTTTTTTTCATGAATTTTAACAAGAGATGTTCATCTTGCTATAATTATATCCTGATTTGTACTGTTGTATCATCTACATAAGAGAAGCATACTAAAAATAGGATGTATCATAATTATCATTGAATGTCTATATTGTTTATCTGAATGAGCATTCTTGAGGTTTGAATGTAAAAAGTTCATGATATTAAAATATTTGACATCTATTTATTGACATCATATGTTGTCTCATATTATTTAATAGGAGATAACCTGTTTACTGCACTTAGATGATTATGTGCTATCCTCTTTGTATAAATTTAAAATACAATGTATGTTGTTTTATTTGTAATTGTATTTCAGTTTTGTTTGTTGGGAGTGTTGTGGGTATAGCTGGTATGTTTAACAGATGGCAGTTTGGGATATATGGACTGTATCCTTTATGAACATTAAAACAATTATATTTAAAGCAGCATGCCTCCAGATTCATGCTTATTTTTTATGAAAATTTTGAAAATGTATTAAAAAGTGAAATATTTTCAAGAGAACAAAGAAAGTACAACTTACTCATATTGCAAACAAACTTTCAATCTATGTAAATTACTAAATAAATGTCAAATTATACCTAGAAAAGCCCTTTCTGCTTAAGTGACTGACATCATAGAAATAAGGTGATAAATACTGCAAAGTCAGTCATTCATTGCATGTAAATTATTTTGACAAAATAAACATCCCACAAACCCACAAAAATGTTCTTTGTGACACAAACCACAAAATTTTATGGCCATGAAATAAGTGAATTCACAGTACATACTGACTGAATAGGGAACAGTGCAGACCATGATCAGACAGCACAGATTTACTGACTGATTTTAGTCTGCACTGCACATCAAACCAAGTCTGCAATTTTCATGTAATTTTGTTGTGATTAATGCTTCTGAGGGAGCAGTCTTTTTCCAAATTTTTATCTATCCTTTATTGGCTATTCATATAAATGGAATCCGGATTTTTCTCTACTTTTGTTGTCTCACTTGAACATTAGATACAGTAATACGATCCTTAATTTCATTTAGTATTGCCAGTCTGTTGATTGTAGTGTTGGAATGGCCAAGAGGCAGAAGGAGAAAAGGAAACACTATTCTACGTCGGTCAGTCAAATTTGACATCATTATTTTCATAATTTCATGTAGACATGAATGATAATATATTATTATTGAATAATAAAAGTCTACACATTGACAGTATACTGATAATACATGTACACTATATATAGTTTTATGTATGAAGAAAAGAGAAACAAATCTGCTTTACAATTTATTTACTTAGAAAACTTAATTAAGAAGTTTTAAATGTTAAAATTGTAGAACTATAGGTTTATATAGATTGTGTAGGTTTATATAGATTGTGGAGGTTTATATAGATTGTGTAGGTTTATATAGATTGTGTAGGTTTATACAGATTGTGTAGGTTTATACAGATTGTGTAGGTTTATATAGATTGTGTAGGTTTATACAGATTGTGTAGGTTTATATAGATTGTGTAGGTTTATACAGATTGTGTAGGTTTATATAGATTGTGTAGGTTTATATAGATTGTGTAGGTTTATATAGATTGTGGAGGTTTATATAGATTGTGGAGGTTTATATAGATTGTGTAGGTTTATATAGATTGTGTAGGTTTATACAGATTGTGTAGGTTTATATAGATTGTGTAGGTTTATATAGATTGTGTAGGTTTATACAGATTGTGTAGGTTTATATAGATTGTGTATGTTTATACAGATTGTGTAGGTTTATATAGATTGTGTAGGTTTATACAGATTGTGTATGTTTATAAAGATTGTATAGGTTTATATAGATTGTATATAACTTAATTAAGAAGTTTTAAATGTTAGAATTGTATAACTATAGGTTTATACAGATTGTGTAGGTTTATATAGATTGTGTAGGTTTAAATAGATTGTGTAGGTTTATATAGATTGTGTAGGTTTATATAGATTGTGTAGGTTTATATAGATTGTGTAGGTTTATATATAGATTGTGTAGGTTTATATAAATTGTGTAGGTTCATATAGATTGTGTAGGTTTATACAAGTTGTGTAGGTTTATATAGATTGTGTAGGTTTATATAGCTTGTATATGTTTATAAAGCTTGTATAGCTTTATATAGCTTGTATAGCTTTATATAGTTTGTATACAAGAAGATTCGTCTATTTATTGTCTTAGTTATAAATGAAAATTGGCTGGAGAGTTGTGTGCATCATGTTGCACTTTTTGTTTGAACAAACTCTATAATTATCGTGTCTGTGTTGTATTTCAGTTTCCAAAGACCTTTCACATTACTTGTTGATAAACTTGGTATAGCAGGAAGAAATTATTTCATCAGATTTATAGCTTACCTATTGTAAGTACATTGCATGTGTTTTATTGGCGGCTTTAAGTGGCTGCACTTGATGCCATTGCTAGTGAACACATTCTTCAATGGCTAGTAAAATAACTGATAAGTGGATTTTTTTTATTCCTATATAGCAAATAGGATGTATTAAATTGTTAAAAGAATGATAAAGAAAATAAAAAAATATGACTTACATGCATCAATTTTGTTAAGTTGTTTATCTGTAGAATTATTTATTTATTTATTTATTTTATTTTTTTTTTTGGGGGGGGGGGGGTATTTTGCATTTCATTGTCTTTTATTAAATTTATGATTCAATGTAAGATATGATTTAAAAAATCATAGAGGTATAAAGACAAGTGGGATTGAAATCCATAAGGCAGAAATTTTGGGGATTTTTTTTCAGTGTTAACCCATTCAAGTTAGGCTGTGTTCAACCAGTATGTTATGTCAAATACCTGTAATTTTTGAATTTGTTTTGTTTTGCAGAATGTGTATCCCATGTTGCTTCACACTAGCTACTCTTCTTGGAGGTATATGCTTATTGTGTACTGGGGCAATATATTTTTTGGTAAGTATTCAATCAATCAATCAATTTATGAATGAGTAAATTACTAATTAATTAAAGGCATAATTATGCCTCAGAAATAAATAAGGGCAAACATCGTTTAAATAATGATTTAAGAGCATGTTAGAATGCTTATTAGCAAAAGAATGTAATATTGAATGTGAAGTTATTTGTCTTAAAGGTAGTAAAATGTAAACAAAGTAATATTTGACTTCCATACTAAATCACTATAACTTAGAGCTGTCATCGATAGAGACAATATCGATGTATCGTTGATATTTTTTGCCGATCAATAATCGATACACATTTAAAAAAATCGATACTTTTGACTAATTAATTACATGTCTAGAAATTATAAAAAAATTCACCCAAAACATATACAGAACATTTACTTATGTCTAATGTTATGCTTTTGTTATATAGTGGAAATATTTCATAGCAATGGTGACAAAAAATATTGTCTGGAAAAAAATGCAGTGGACAATACACTGTACAGAACATGTTTTAACTGAAATAATTTAAACAGGTATGAAAGTGAATGACAGACAAGTGAGTATAGGATATTATCGATATATCGGTGTATCATTGATTTTAGTCATCTGATATCGATATATCGTTGATATGCTTTGCACTGAATCAATGACAGCTCTACTATAACTGTACTAATTTCCAAACAACAAAGAACCAAAAAATAGTTCAGGTTTACCATTAATGACCAATGAATATCTTTTTGGAAACTCATATAATAGGAAACAAAAAAAATAAAAAGAAAGCTTTTGTAAAATAAAAATTAAAGTATTTCTGGGGCATAATGTGTATTTAACCAACAAGTAAAGCAAATTTTAAATGGTTGTCTGATTGGATCAGTTCATTCTATGCTTTTGTTCAAATCCTGCCAGGAGCTTTGGATACTTTTATAGTGGTAAGTAATCCAGCAAACTAAAGCTGGGTATTTCATAAAATATTTGAAAGACCCTGACTTAAGGAAGGCCCATGATTTTATCGAAGTTTTGGTTTGTGCACTCAATTGCATGGAGGGGTCTTCCTCCACAGTATGTCTGAAAAGAATCCATATTACTTAAACAGTGACTTAGAAGGCAACTTCCCCAAAAGGATATAAAAAAATGTATTACATATTCATTTAAGAAAATATCCATTTTGAGAATGTAACAGTTTTTCGATTAGGTGAGTGATTAAAGTGCCATCATGGCCCTTTTGTCTATATTTATATCAGGATCAAAATTCCTTATAACTGCTTCCTTTTCAAAGTAACAGTTTCTTGATTTTAACTTTGATTGAAAAACTTTTCAAATTAAAATGAAAGGTTAATTTTTATCATCATGTAGGCTGCTATTAAAGGTGAAGAATGGGCACCGGCCGGCCTTGAAAAAAAGAGTGACATAAAGCAAGTCAACAGTCTTCATCCACCGAAGAAAGCCCCACCTCGACTTAACACTAGAGATACAGGCAGTGTTGATACTGAGAATATAGATATGGAGATAGTTGAGAATTCAAGGGGAGGAGCTTCTGAGCCCTCGAGACCACGACGACCTCCACCACGACCTACTGTTGTTTCTATGGAAGGTGTTCAAGATCCAAGAGGATAGTTATAATAATAATTATATACAGTATTGCATTATATTTTCTTCTCCACTAAGTTTACAGTGATACGACTAAGTTATTGACTCTGAAATAGTTTGCTAGTTTTCTTAACTTAAATAAGAGTTCAAATTTGTTTTTTTCCTGCTATTAGATAAAAGAGTGAAGATTTAAATAATGGAATGGTCATTCTTTTATGAATTAGTGTATGATTTTATCTAATTTCACAATATCAAAAGGATTTTTGTAGCTATTAATTAATGGTTAATATTGTTGAGAAGAATGTAGACAAAATTTAAAAATAAATATATTAGAACATTAAAGCAGCTTTCCTCCAGATTTGTGTAAATTTTGGGTTACAAGTTAAAACTGTTCTAATGGATAAAAAGGATGATAAGTGTACAAATTAAGTATTTAACCTAGCATATGGCACTTGTAATCCACAGAAATTGAAATAAGTTATAATTTTGTCAAAATTTGAAGAGATTTCTCTTACTTTGTCAGAAATAGAGTGGAATTTTGACAATAAAAATACATATAGTAAATTCTGTCAAATTTTCGCCTAGATTGGGAATAATTACACATTTTTTTAACTACAGATTATTTTTTTCTGCAAGTTTGATTTTTTTTCTGCAAGTTTGATTTTTGAAGATTTATTTTACTCATCAAAAGGCATGCTGTTTAAAATGATAAATTTCAAAATACTGAAAGTTTGTCGTTAAAAACTTGGAGCTGATTAATAATTTCCCCAAATACTTACAATATGTGCAAAATCAGGAATCTCATCTGTCCCATTTAGGATAGAATTATTGATATATTAATTTTTTATGCTCCTACATATAGTGATAAATAATGTAACAGATTTGTTCTTCTGTCCTTCCTCCCACCACACTTTCCATTTTTCATTGTGCCTTCATTTATTGACTGGTATGTTGGTATCCTTCCATTTGATAGTGTCAGGTTTTTGTTAATATGGTCAAGATCACTGAAACTAAAAATAGATTTTCCAACATTTTGTCATTGTAAATTAATTCTAAGCTTTGCCAAAGAAGCATAGGGATGCATCAATTAGACTTAGTGTCATTTGTATTTTTGATTTAGAAAATTGGAAATGTTGATAAAATTGCTTTGCTCTCTATATGTAGGCTTTGTTAATTATTTATTTGTTTGTGACTTGTTTAGGAACAATATTGTTTTTTCAACAAATGAAATAGACCTTTTTGATGATACCCTGCAATAGATCAAAAAGTTTTTACTGTGGTGACAGCTATTTCTTATGTACTAAACTGTGACAATCGTCATAAGTTTAAGTTGAAAACTGCTTAATTATGACTTTGTGTTTTTCACCATAGGTACATATTTTTGAAGATGTTGATCAATACTGTTTAATGAATATATATTTAATATCTACACTTTCAGGTAAAATAACTTAGCAAAACTTTGGAATTCAGTGTATTTGTGTACCATAGTTTAATAGAGGCATTTAACTTCAGTGGACATTTTTATTTGCGAGATCTAGATATAATTATATCTTTTGTAAAGTTGCTGGAAACATTTACATGTGTAGCATATACATGTATCCGTATAAGATTTGATACACATTATACGAGTACAATGTACTGGTATTAACTGTTTGGAAGGAAATATATGCGAGTGTGTACTGTAATTTATATGAAGTTTACGATTGCTGGCAGTCATAAACTTATTTGCATGTTCTTTGTATTGTATCTATAGTTACATATATATGTAGTAAAGAAATGTCTATGCCTGATAAATTCGATTTTTGTATTTTAGTGCCTTATTAATATGTTTGCAATATTTTGTATATGACATACTATTTACAACATTCCGAAATACTCAATAAAACATTCTTTTGTATCTACATGTATCTATGAATGTAATTATTCATGTGATGATTTATTTATTAGTAAAGTATTTATATTTATTGAATCTTTCTTTTAAATTGTACAGACTAGTCCTTTTACTTGCCTTAACTTACAGTTTGCCAAATCCAAAATGAATTTTATCTTTTAACCTGGAGGCATTTATTTACAGTGGCCATGCAATGAGTGAAGACCAAAGTCAGCCAGCATATCCATACAATTTGATTATGGTCTGCACTGTTCAATTACACAGTGATTTAGTACAAAATCTTAAAATTTTCCATAAAAATGACAAATGGATTTGTCCAGATTGAAATATAGACAAGTCAATTTAAGATATTTTTAGCATGGAAATGGTTAATATCTACCTAAGTTTCATGCTCTATGAAGTCTTGACCAGTGGAAATTGGAAAAATTGTATAAAGTTTAAATCAGTTGAAATTGGGAGAACATGATCAAATGTAAACCTAGCACAAATGTGTTATCTCCAGAAACTAAAATAAGTTTCATAATCCTGTATCATTTGCTAATTATCAAACTGACAATTTCCTATAGAGGCAGGTTGGTTGGGTTTTATGTGGCACCAACACAGTAACGGTCATATGGCGTCTTTTCCAATTTTACTGGTGGAGGAACACCTCAAGTGCCCACCTGTGCATTATTTCAGGCACAAACAACACTTAAGTAGAGCCAGCAACATTCTAGAAGCTTACAGATAGATAGCTTCCTCACATGCAGAGTCCAAGGATACTTGTACAGCCCGAACCTACAGCAGTGAGACGTTAGTGGTTTGAGGTTATTAGGTCAAGGTCATAGTGACACTTCAATTGTAATCCTTGTCTAATCAATAACTAGTTTCCTCAGTCATAGGTTGTGAAGCATATTAGTTATAATATTACTACATGTATTATATACATTCTTATAATTGTGGTGTACTTGACCTTTATAAAATATGCACAAATATGTAAGTATGCAACTGCTATAGGCAAATGAAATGCACAACTTTCCTAGGACACATTTTCTACTGGTGTGATGCTGCAATAATTAACCCATAGCAATCTGTATACTTACCATCAAAATCATTGGTATGTACTAGAAGACAAACAGAGTTGATTTGACTTTGCAAATTTATAGTTTCTAGTATATATTCTTATGAAAAAACAACAACAACAAAATATGAATTATTTAATTTTATTGAATAAACAAATAATTCCTCTTCAGGATTTATAAATATATATATATATATATAAAGCTACATTCTAATCTATACCTGTATAAAATTGAACATATAAATATGTAACAAATAATAAACAAATTGCATTGCATTGATTATACATGTAATTAATAACTTGCCCTTTTGATCATCTTCAGACTATTAAGTCAAAAAAAAAATATGCGCCACCCCAAGCGGGGGCTATGCTTGACTTTTTCATTTCCAAAGGCAAAAAGTAAGAAGCAAGAACATAAGGTGAATGTTTTCAAAGGCACTTTCATATATCAATTTAATCAAAATTGAAGGTCAAGGTAATTTTAAGGTCAAGGAAAAACTTGAATAATTCAACATGTTAGTTGTTAACATAAGTATTGTTTTGTCCATAGACAAATCAAATTTGTAAATAACGGCCTAAAAAAAGCAAATAATTTAACTTGACCTTGACAATCAAGGTCAATCCATTTGCATATTACACAGTTATAGCTATGTAACGCAAAAATCAAGAAAAATTGAATAATTTGACCTAAATTCAGCTTCATTTGAGTCAAAGTCAAATTTAGTTTAACCTTCTTGAAGGTTGTGTCCTAAAGGGTATTGTGACCATGCAAGTATGAAGATTTAGAATGCTATGCAGCGACTTATATAATAATTTAACTAAATCTGTCATCCATAAGTGACATCTAAAAGTAACAAACAGGTATTGAAGGATCAAGCCAATAAAATTTCATCATAAACATTCAGTTGTCATGAGCTAAAATAAAAAAAAACACAATTTTTGGAATGCTTGGTTGGGATACAGGCTACATACTATACTGCATGTAAAACACTTGGTACACCTAAGTTATCAAACAAACAAACATAAAACAGGTAACATCAAGAGAATCATGATTGCTTAGCATCGCTCCTATATGTACAATTACCAGTAATTCCTGAGAAATTCAAAGATATTAACATCCAATGAAATCATTATTACATGTATTTGATACATACATGTAAAGGGCAGTAAAACTATGCTTTTTAAGAGAAGCAAAATAATGCAATAAAGGAAATTCAAAATAAATCTGACTAGTATTCAAAACAAAAAGAGCACTTTAGTTAATATTGGTGAACTTAAAGAAGTAGGCACAGCATCCAGTCTATATCAAAACTAATCCTGAGCCTTCTGGTAATATTGCTGGGCAAAACATGTTTACAAAATTTCAGAACTTCAAATTTGAAACTTGTCTAAAACTCAAAAATTCTCATTGGTTTTGATTAGAACAGTGATAAGAAATTGACCAATGATGGTACAGTTTAATTTCTGGACTGGTTTCTTAATTACAAAACCCTAGATATAAACTGAACTTCAGTGTCAAATAGAACAACTAATATTGGCTATACATATACGCGTAATTCTTTCAAGACTTTTTTGAAAAACAAATTTTTTTATTTTTTTCTTGAAAAAGGATTGTAAAAAAAATTTTTAAATTTTTGTTTTAAAAATATCTTGGGAAATATAAAGATTTTCAAGAAAGAAAATCCACTTTTTTTTAAATTTTGTTTAGGGAAAACAACCCTATTTTAATACTAATTCCTGGTGTCTTAGCATAAACTTTCTTTATCCCAACAACTTTATTACTGAACTCTTAGTCTCTTAATAATACAAAACTACTGTTCAAGCTATTCCCTGAGTATTACACACAATTTAAAAACAACCTATACTTAAATTCAATATAAAAATGTTTTCTTTTCATTTGTTTTTCTCTTTTCAACTAGCAAAAATTTTTTTTACTAAAAATTTGTATTTTGATGGTTTTTTGGTTTAATTTTTTTTTTAAAGATAATCTTTTAATTAATCTTTTAATTTGTTTTTTTAAATTTATTTTTTTTTTAAGTAAAAAAAGTAATTTTCTGTTTTAAAATTTTTTCCCCCCCATGAGAATATTGTGAAAAAAGGGCCGTTTTCACTGAAAACCCTCCTCTTACAAGTTCAAACTGTTTTTAAACTATAAAAAACCCTAAAAAAACAAATAAAAATTTTGGAAACAAAATGTTAAACTGGGACCTTTGTTTTGAAACGACATCCCTCAGTTTTAAAATTTTCCGTTGTTCCCATGGCAACGAGGGGACTTTTAAAAATTTTGCCAAAAACCACTTTTTGCCTCGATTTTTTCCATAAAAATTTTAAAATTTAAAAATTTCGCAACTTCTCAAGGGATTGAGATAGATTTCAAAGGTTTTTCGGGTTTTTGGTTAACTTTAAACATTTGATCCCCGGGGGCCCAATTTTTAGCCTCCCCAAAAAGCCCAAAAATTTTTTTGACGATGGGGGGGACTCCGCCCCCTTTAAAAACCCCCCTAACAGAAGGGGGCACATCCCCCCTTTTGGCAACCCCCCGGGTATTTTTTGGATGGGAGGCGGGGCCCCCAAAAAATGCTCATTTTTTTTTTGGAACATTTCTCAAAAAAAAACAGTGTTTTGGGGGCCCAAAAAAGGGGCAAATTTTTTACTATTTTTAGGCCCAAAAAAAGGGGGGGGGTTGAAAGGGGTTGTTTTTGCGGAAAATATGGGGGGTTTTAAGGGTTTAAATTTTTTTTTATAAAGATTTCTGTTTTAATTCCTTTTTTTTTAAAGATAAACAAATATCTTCTTCATAAGAAAGTCTGTGATGTTTTGTAGGAACTCTGTGACACATTTCAGAAGAATACATGTCGTCAGAATAACTCCATTCTTTGTCTCATGTCCATCTCAAAACAATTTAAATACATAATCCTATCGCAAGATAACAATCTAGTGAATTAGCAGTTGAGTATTGTAATAATAAAAACCTAATTTTAAGCACAAGTAAGGCCAGATTTGCCCTTAAAAAAATTTAAGATTTTTCAAGGGTTTATTTTAAAATTTTTAATGATTTTTGGCTTATATAAAATTTTTAAAATGAACATACAATTAAAAATTTATAATTTTTATCACAGATGAATTTAATTTTACTTGGTTTTTCTAATTATGATTTATGAACTGAAAAATGATTAAATTTTGTTTAAAGGGTTGGGGACCAAACTCATTGCCATTTGATTTGGGCAATCCCCAGTGATGTATCATTTTATAGTTTTTTTATGGGGTAGTATCCCTTATCTGCTTTTTCCCGTGTCGGGTATTTAAATGAAAAAAAAAATTCATCAATTTTTATTTTTTTTTTTGGGTTTTAAACAAGCGGTTTACCATTAGTTTTTTTCTTTTCCTTTTTCCCCCCCTTTTGTTTCGGTTTTTAAAAACCCCATTCCCCCCACTTTAAACAAAATTTTTTAAAAAGGTTTATATTGAAAAAAACTTTTTTCCAGGGGTTTTAAAAATAGGTTTTTGGGAATTTTTAGAAACCTTTAGGCCCCCCTTTAAAATTATTTTTAGCCCCAAAACCCCCTTTTTAACTTTCTCACATTTTAAAAAACCAAAAGGGGCGGCATGGCTCAAAACCCAAAAGGGGGAGAGGCAAATGGTTTTTTACCCCCCTTGCCACAATTTCCCCCTTGAAAAAGTTTCCCCTTTTTTTCACCAAAAAGTATGGGTTTCCCCCTTTTTTACATGGGAACCCCCCTTTCTGTACTCACATAAAAAATTTTAAATTTTTTAAAATTTTTTTTATTAAAAAAAATTTTTTTTTTTGTTAAAAATTTCCATTTTTTATTTCAAATTTTAATGGAAAAATTTGCAAATTCATTTGGAATTTAAAAAATAAAAAATTAAAAAAACTTAATTTCCCAGACAATCTGTTTTTTCCATAAAACCCCTATATAATAGTACAGAGAAAAACAAAACCTCCCAGTGAAATGAGGACTATTTCTGTTACATGTATAATCAGTAGTGGGGTGAACAACAACCGGTAAAACTTCTTCGAGCTTTTATCATCTATAGTGGCACTCTGTAATAAAGATAATTATGCATTTAAAAATCAACACAAGGTTTGTATTTTACAATGATATTCCTGACTGCTATATACCAGTGCCAAAACATATCTATACTAGTGTTGGTGTAACTCTTATTGCAATACTGATGTAAGTCTTAAACATCTTATCTTGGTATAACACTCATACCAGCAGGAACACAACTCCCATACAAATACTGACAAAACACTTATACCAGTACTGACATAACACTTATACCAGTGCTGACAGAGCACTCATACCAGTGGTGACATAACACTCATACCAGTATGGACATAAATCTCATACCAGTAGGGACATAACGCTCATACCAATACGGACATAACACTCATATCAGTGCTGACATACCTCTCATACCAGTAGGGACATAACACTCATACCAGAACTGACATATTGCTCATACCAGTACTGATATAATGTTTATACCAGTACTGACATAACACTCATACCAGTACTGACATAACAATCATACCAGTGCTGACATACCTCTCATACCAGTAGAGACATAACACTCATATCAATAGGGACATAACTTTCATACCAGTATGTATATAACACTCATACCAGTAGGGACATAACTCTCATACCAGAAGGGACATAACTCACATACCAGTAGGGACATAACTCTCACAGGGTTGCCAGCACTTTGGTGAAATAAAATTCCCTGACTTTCTCTGACTTTTCACTGACCAATTCATGTTTTTCACTGACCAAAATCATCAAACACATAAACCGCCTCCTGACCTCCCCTATAGCCGTCCAATCCTCTCATTATATTTTTGCATGATAACTTGTATTTATTTTCCAAAATATAAAACATTTACATCAAAGTAATGATTCAAACATTGTGTTCTACTATTCTTAACTATTTCTATTCAAACACAGTGTGACTGTTGGTCAGTGAAACATGTGAAACATATGACATGAAAATCAGAAGAATCATAATATAAGCATCTGTATTAGAAATCACATAAGTCACTCTTTCCTTCCTAATAGTAACACATAAAACACCAAGACTATAAGAGTAATACTTGTATGACAAAACTTAAAATTCAAACATCTCTAAACTATAAGAACAATAAACATTTAACACAGTTACTTGTATAAGGCATCATGATAAACTCCACTGATTGTGAAAACAAGAACATAGGGCTCATTTTGGCATATCATGAAATAATCACTATAAAATTAAAGGCTTTGAATGAGTGAAGTAAGTTAGTGTGAAAAAAGTTAGTGTGAAAAACATAGCATTGCATAATTTAACCAGTTTCCATCATGTTTGCAAGACAAATCCTCTTGTACAATTTCTTAGTGTCAAAGCAAAAAGCAAAGCAGGTTATATGCCAATATGGTAGTTTGGTATACATGTATACTGACTAGATTTTGTTTGTAATTAAAAGCCCTTCTAGTGATCATGCACAGAAAAAGCTAGACCAATACAGAATACAGTGAGCGGCATGACTGTTACATTCAGTCTTTAGGCTGAATGATGTTCTAAGGTAAATAATGGGTATTATAATCACTAAGTTAACATATAATCCTTCTTAATATCACAGTTTACTGTTATTTGAATTTAATGCTTAACTGTGAGAGTGATAAAGTCAAATATTAAATGCCTAAAGACTGCCATAGCCAAGAAAGACCTTCAATGTGTATATTTTTCGACCTTTGAAATAATTTTTCCCTGACTTTTCACTGATTTTTTAGGATTTTCTTTTTTCACTGACCAAATTTCAAAATTCCCTGACAATTCCCTGACCTTGAAAAAATACCCAATTTCCCTGACTTTTCAAGTCTGCTGGCAACCCTATCTCATACCAGTAGGGACATAACACTCACATCAGTATTGACATAATGCTCATACCAGTACTGACATACCTCTCATACCAGTAGGGATATAACACTAGTACCAGTAGGGACATAACTTTCATACCAGAACTGACATAACTTTTATACCAGTACTGACATAACACTCATACCAATACTGACATAACACTCATATCAATACTGACATAACACTCATACCAGTGCTGACATAACACTCATACCAGTGCTGTCATACCTCTCATACCAGTAGGGATATAACACTCATACCAGAACTGACATAACACTCATACCAGTACTGATATAACACTCATACCAGTACTGATATAACACTCATACCAGTACTGACATAACTCTCATACCAGTACTGACATAACACTCATACCAGTACTGACATACCTCTCATACCAGTACTGACATAACACTCATACCAGAACTGACATAACACTCATACCAGTACTGACATAACACTTATACAAGTACTGACAACACACATACCAGTACTGACATAACTCTCATACCAGAACTGACATAATGCTAATAACAGTACTGACATAACTCTCATACCAGAACTGACATAACACTTATACCAGTACTGACAACACACATACCAGTACTGACATAACTCTCATACCAGAACTGACATAATGCTAATAACAGTACTGACATAACTCTCATACCAGTACTGACATAGCACTCATTTTAGTACTGACATAACACTCATACCAGTACTGACATAACACTCATACCAGTACTGACATAATGCTCATAACAGTACTGATATAATTCTCATAACAGTACTGACATAACTCTAATACCAGTGCTGACATAACTCTCATACCAGTACTGATATAACACTCATACCAGTACTGACATAACTCTCATACCAGTACTGACATAACTCTCATACCAGTACTGACATAACACTCACACCAGTACTGACATACCTCTCATACCAGTACTGACATAACACTCATACCAGAACTGACATAACACTCATATCAGTTCTGACATAACACTCATACCAGTACTGATAAAACTCTCGTACCAGAACTGATATAATGCTCATAACAGTACTGACATAACTCTCATACTAGTACTGACATAACACTCATACCAGTACTGACATAACACTCATACCAGTACTGACCACTCATACCAGTACTGACATAATGCTCATACCAGAACTGACATTACTCTCATACCAGTACTGATATAATGCTCATAACAGTACTGACATAACTCTCATACTAGTACTGACATTACTCTCATACCAGTACTGACTAACTCTCATACAAGTAGGGACATAACTCTCATACCTGTACTGACATACATTTTATACCTGTGCTGATATAACTTTAATACCAGTGGCATAAGCAAGTTGTATTTACACAATACTGTAACATTCAAAGGAATAAAAGGGATTCCTGATACACACAAAATACTTCTTACTAATTGAACTAAGTAAATATATTTTCATGAGCAATAATCTGGAAGTTAAATGGCTGCATACATTATTTTAGGCACTGAATTTATATGGAAGTTTCACATAAGATGTGTTAACAAATATATAAACTGTACATAATTATAAGAAAAATATACATGATGGCCAGAGAGGACTTCCATTTGCTCATCTGTTTTCAAAATTCATTAATTCTAAACAAATTTATAATAAAAAAAATTGAAAAAGTCAATATTGTTTGTTAATATAATTGTACAACAGCTATTTTCTTACAATTTACATATAAAGTTATCATGAATCTTGAAAAATAAAAGTCAAAATGAAATTGGTAAAATGAATACCTTACCTCATTTAACCAGAAAACTGGTAAAAATACTGGCTTAATATTTAATGTCTCTCTGAAAAAAAAAGAATAGCAAAAACTGATATTTTGTCTTATCTGAGAAAAAGATTTTTCAATGAAATTCAAGGACAAATGGAATAACATTATGGCAACTTTAGAATTGATTTTACCAAAGACATTTAACCAACTAATCAAATTCAGCAATTAATTAAGAGAAATAATGAAAGTCAAGACGTTACCATTTCCCCTCCCTGCATTATTTCAGGCAAAAATGTTATAATACAATGTGTATCCCTAGTAAGCATGTAAAATAATATTCAATCATCATCACAAGTAATGAAACAACTTACGAGATATTAGCTAAAGGTTCGAGATAAACATTTATTTGAAGTCTTTTGGCTGCATTTAGAACTAAACCAGTATACTGAAAGTGAAAAAAAAATATTTAAAAGAAGGGCAAGCATAATAGTTTATGTAAATGTAAGAAAAAGTTTATTTGCCGAAGCCTGTATAACAAGAGCTGTCTAAGTGCTTGATACTAGATAATGTAGAATTTTTAAAGTTTATAATGGTCATAATTCTATCAAAATACATGTTAGAGTTATGGGCCTTGGACAGTGACTTCCTATTATGCTCTCAAACATGTGTGTCAAGTTTTCCACCCATTCCTTTCAGTATTTTGGGGATACCAACTTGAATGCAAAATCTTAACCAAAGTGTGACATTGATGCCAGGCTGATTACAAGTGCTCTCCTGTTCTTTGAAAAGGCATGCTAACAACACATGCAGGTAATCCAGAGGAAAGAAGTTTTGTCAAAATTTAGGCCTACTAAAGTAGTTGAGCAGAAATCATTCCATTTACCTTCAGACAAAATGTGAAAACACATGTCTCTTTAATAAAACAGGTAGAACTAGAATGTACCGGGATGCCCTGCTTCATCAGTCTTTGACATACAGCATAGCAGTGGCGTGAACAGATAATGCCCCCGCCCCCCACAATGGATGGAGACAATTACCCCCCCCCCCCCCCAAGAACAAGTAATTGGTGCATAAAAATCATTATCATATCAACACATTTGTTGGTATATTATTAGTTATTAAGATTTTTGACAGCTTATATGGCCCTATATAAATGGTTGTTTGGAATCGTCACTTGAATTGAATTGCAAACAACCATTTATATATTGTCATATAAACTATCAGGAATATCTATAACAAATTTATAATACATCAAACTTCCTTTTTTCAGAGGGAAAAGTGAGATTTCTTCCTAAATTGACTGTAGCCGTGTACATGAAACTATATAATTGTCATGATTATCCAATGAAAAGTGACATTACAAATGTGCAGTTTTATAAGATATAGAAGATATTTGTGTGTTTTGCATGTAAGATTGAAATATAATTTCACTGAGTGAACACCAGATGCAATATTTTCACGAGTGACGTAGCCACGAGTGAAAATATAATAGCTGGTGTTCACGAATGAAATATATTTCAATCTTATATGTAAAACAAATAAATTTTCTTTTTATTTCATGCTTTTTAAGTGATTTTAAGTATTTTCTACTGATTTTGCCGCGTCCTGTCGCGCATTCTCCTTTGTGACGTCATCACATCATGACGTCACATCATCAATTTTGAAATATAGTTCTGTTAATTTTTTTCTAATTTTGTTACATTTTAACATGATGTATGGTGACATCGACTTTCTTTTCCTAAAGAAGCAAAATTTACATATGATGGCATTTATTTCTGCCTGTTATTCCATTTAGTTATGATTTTCTTTTCATCCGCATTCAGATATAGTCCGGCTACAGTGAAAATCATATTTTATAAATTTCACTAGTGGTTTATCAGAATATAATCATCTGATATATTACAATAAAACACTGGAAAGCATGAAATAAATCATATTTATTGGTATAATAAATCACAGTTGTTGGAATATGTATAAGATACTTACAGGTTCTAGGTCTATGACAGTATTATGTTCTTCTTCATTAGGACTGACACCATATACAGCATTAATATACCGTGGATCTCCAAACAAAAAATGAGGTAGTGATATGGCAACAGGTAAATGGAAGAAATCAACTGAAAAATACATTATCATTATCATCCAGATTAGGTTGTTATCATTTACTAAGAGCTCAATACAAATACATATTTTTTGTACACAATAACAACATTCATAAACCACTTGTGGAATTGTTTTGAAAAGGATGTCAGAAACTTAATTTTCTCCATTATCAACCTGTACTGGACATAACTTTAATAAAATTTTGAGCCGTGTCATGACAAAACCAACATAATGGGTTTGCAACCAGCATGGATCCAGACCAGCCTGCGCATCCACGCAGTCTGATCAGGATCCATGCTGTTCGCTTACAAACCCTATTACAAGTAGAGAAACTGATAGCGAACAGCATGGATCCTGATCAGACTGCGTGGATGCGCAGGCTGGTCTGGATCCATGCTGGTCGCAAACCCATTATGTTGGTTTTGTCATGACATGGCTCAAATGTTCCTTGATGTAATATTGATCTCAACTGACTGGCAGTTGAAAATATTGATCTCACAGAAATATTGACCTTACCTGACTGGCAGTTGGAAATGTTGACTAAACCAGCTCCTAAACAGTTTTCTCTAGTGGGTGTACAGAAACCTATATTGTCTGGATTGACAGTAGCATTGGCAAGCCCTTTTGGCTCTCCACTAAACCTCCAAAGAGCAATTCCTTGTGAAGTTTCTACAGTTTTGTGAAATATTCCAGGTACACTCCTGGAAGTTTTGAAGAAAAGAAGACACATGTATAATGAAAGATAATCTACTATTGGTCCATTTCTAACTGTCAAGGTTTGGAACTGTCCATTATTTAGGGTAGACAATATGTAAGTGGCCAAATGGCTAAGCTGGTAGAGCAGCAGAACAATATTCCAATGTTCCTCGGTTCAAATCCTGGTAATGCTTCACACTTGTCTCACCCTGTGATAAATGGCGCACATTGGGGGACAATGACTGCATAGTGCTAAAATTTTAAGTAATTTTACAAATTTTCAGAATTACAAATTAATAACAAATTCATATGCACACAAAGAAAATGTAATATATAACTTGGCATGCTAAATCAATACAAAGGTCGTAAAGATGCAATTTGCAAAACAATGTAAAAAGAATCACCAGTAAATAACTACATATTAACTTTAGTTATAAAATGAGTATGATTTTTATGATAAATATAACATATGTGATAATAAAAAAAAAATTGAATGGATAAGAATATATTAAATTATATTCGAAGACAACAGTGTACCTGCATATGTCAGAGGAGAAGGTATACAATGTAATATCTTTTGGTAAATATGGTGGACCGATTGTGCCATCTGAAGAGAAAGTTAAAATCTGTGATTTCACAGAACTCCAAAGAAAGAAATGAAATACATTGGTTATAATGTAAAGATTTAATATGATGTGTGCAAATATGTAACTCAACAAGAGAGCCATGACTGCCCTAGAGCACCCATCTGAGATCCCTTGACATGGGAGGTCATACTTCTTCTATGTTACATAGAAGTATGACCAATATATGAGCCGTGTCACGACAAAACCAACATAATTGGTTTGCGACCAGCATGGATCCAGACCAGCCTGCGCATCCGCGCAGTCTGATCAGGATCCATGCTGTTTGCTATCAGATTCTCTACTTGTCATAGAGTTTGTAAGCGAACAGCATGGATCCTGATCAGACTGCGCGGATGCGCAGGCTGGTCTGGATCCATGCTGGTCGCAAACGCACTATGTTGGTTTTGTCGTGACACGGCTCATATGTAGTGTAGCAGTAAGTATTTAAGTCACACTGGGTGTGTGACACTCTTATCCTAGATGCATAATTAATAAAAACATTTGTTAAGGTTTTCTGAGAAATGCAACAAACCAAATATACGAGATCTGCATTTTTCATGTTTTAAATGTGATTTCCTATACAAGTCTCTATAAAAATAAGTGACCATCAAGTCGGGCCTATTTAGATCCTGTGAGAATAATTTACATAACTTTTCCAGATGACAACAAGGTGATGACAGAATACCTTTAAATTTGAATACATGTATGTCTTAAAGAAATATCTATAAAATTAGATTATATGCAAATGTTATCATTTACATCATTTAAATAGAAATGTAGCTGGAAGTTAAGCTTCAAATCTTTAATATTTTAGAAGCAGTTATATATGTATAGTTATATACCTGAACCATTTATCATATTTGCCCATTCTGTCGACCAAAAATCTAAATGGCTGAAATACAGAAAGAAAACAAGAACATGTTTGTTAAACACAAATGCCCCCGGCTCAGATTCTTGTCAGTAGCAATTTTTCAAAAATTTGCTTTACCCATTCACTCAGTTATGGACAGAAAAATTGCCAAAAAATTGTAAACACAAGTTATATAGCTTGACAAAGTCATGGCATTTTGTAATTGTGAAAAATATAAGTTGCCAAGTCATTGCTCTGACTTGTGAAGTTGAAAAATATTAAACTTCATGCAAGTTATCTTCCTACTAAATATGAAATACACCTGTCATTAAATAAAGGCTATATGGGCAAGAGTGTAAAAATCTATTTTGAGCACTGGTGACCTTAACCAAACTGACCTCTAACTCTATCCAAAAGAAGAATACCATGTAAGATATCTTCCTACCAAATATGAAATACATCTGTCAATTAATAAAGGCTGTATGGGCAAAAGTGTAAAAATCTATTTTTAGCACTGGTGACCTTAACCAAACTGACCCCTAACTCTACCCAAAAGAAGAATACCATGTAAGTTATCTTCCTACCAAATATGAAAAACATCTGTCAATAAATAAATCCTGTATGAGCAAAAGTGTAAAAATCTATTTTTAGCACTTGTGACCTTGACCCAACTGACCCCTTACTCCATCCAAAGGAAGAATGCCATGCAAGTTATGTCCTACCAAATATGAAATACATCTGTCAATAAATAAAAGCTGTACGGGCAAAAGTGTAAAAATCTATTTTTAGCACAACTGACCTTGACCCCCTAATCCCTACCACAATCAAAAAGATGAATACCATGCAAGTTTTCTTCCTACCAAATATAAAATATATCTGTCACTTAATAAAGGCTGTATGAGCAAATGTGTAAAAATCTATTTTTAGCACTGGTGACCTTGACTCAACTGACCACTAACTCCATCAAAGTTTATGTTTCTATCAATTATAAATAACATCTGTCTATAAAATAAGGTCAATACACCTGTAAAAATGTAAAAATCTATTTTTTTAACATTGGTGACCTTGACATTGGTAACATTGACCTTGACCCAAATGACCCCTTACTACACCCAAAGAAGGAGGACCTCCCTTGGCATGTTTGTATTAAACTAAGACATCACATAAAATATAAAGGCTGTATGAGCAAAAATGTTTATATTTATTTTTTAAACCAGTGACCTTGACCTTGACCCTAGAGACCGCTTACTCCACAAAAAATTAGAGGACCATCAAAGGTATCCACCTACTAAATATGAAAGATATCATTAAAGAAATTAAGCAATTAGGAGAAATTTAAGATAAATCCAACTTGCCGAAATAGGTTAACCAGACAAGGCCCTACTTTCAAAGTGAAAAATCGGAAATAACTGGGAAATATGGATGACACAGTTATATAACTTGGCAATATCATGTACTTCGTATTGATAAGTAAGTGTGGAAATTATAAAGCCATTAGTATAGATAGAACTTAAGATATTTCCAACTTGCCGTTTTAGGTTAACCATTATTCATTGCTGTAAAGGGCAATTACTTGGTAAATATGAAAGCCAGAGTTATGTAACTTGCCCAGATCATGTACTTTGTATTGATTAGTAAGTGTGTAAACTTAGAAGCCATTGGTACAGGTAGAACTTAAGAAAAATCCATCTTGCCATTCTAGGTTAACCTCGTACGGACAGACGGACGGACGGTTCAATCACTATATGCCCGGGGGCATAAAAACTCATAAAAATGTCACTTGTCTCGACATTTAGTAAAAACTTTTGAACAAACACCTTTCTTAACTTCTCATAAAAGGCAAAAATATTGTTATTGTTTATACTTTGCTATTGTGAGACTTTTTATAATAGCATTTTTCGTTTTGCAGCTCAGTCATCATACATGTCTGTTATAAATGTTTAAATGAGTGGCAGTGTGGCCAAGGGTTTAATGTGTCATACTAAAAATCTTTGTATTGCTGGCCGAGTGGGTAAAAACCCCTTCAGTGGGAAAACTTTGATTCCATGAGCGAAGTAACTTTACACTCATTGCTTAATTTTGATTGGTTCTAGGAATGGATTCAAGAGAGTTTTAACTAGAACTATCGCTGAATGCGATTCATACCCCCACCAATGTCCTTGACAGAACATTTTCTAAGCCTAAAAGGGGCATAACTTGTGTCATAATTCAATGGAATTGTATAATTTTCGTCATCTGAGCTTGCTTGTAACCATTCATATAAATTTTAAGTTTCAAGTAAATATCTGTTCTGGTTTAAGAAATATTATAGTAAATAAATTTAAAGACATAAAAATGGACTTAACTTTGTCAAAATACAATACAAAGTTATCCTCCCCACTTTTTTTAGTTATGAAACTTGACCTGCATATCTTACTTGCGACACTTCGTATAAGTTTCAAATGATTATCTGTTCTAGTTTTAGAAATATTCAAGTACATGTTAAAAATTTCAGAACATTTTCTAAGTCAATTTTTGACCTTCAGGTGTGGCCTTGACCTTAAGCTGGCACAAGGGTAACATGGGTTCTGCACATTGCCCAGTTGGGGTGAACATGTGATTCAAGTTTGAAGAAAATCCTTCCATTAGTATAGAATTTATAGAGCGAACACAATATTGTCTAGTATTGATTGTATGCAAATTTAAAAACTTAAAAAGAGGCATAACGTTGTCAAAATGTAATACAGACTTATGAAACTTGACCTGCATATCTAACTTGTGACACCTCATATATCTTTTAAGTTTCAAGCAAATACCTGTGCTAGTTTCAGAAATATGCATGTACATGTTAAAATTTAAGAACATTTTCTCAGTCAAATTTTGACCTTCAAGTTTAACCTTGACCTTAAGCCGGCACAAAGGTAACATGGATTCTGCACATAACCTTGTTGAGGTGAACATTTGAGTAAAGTTTGAAGAAAATTCTTCCATTAGTATAGGATTTATAGAGCGGACACGACATATTGTCTAATATTTGATTGTATGTAAATTTGAAGACTTAAAAAGGGGCACAACTTTGTCAAAATGCAACACAGAGTTATGAAACTTGACCTGCATATCTTAATTGTGACACTTCATATATATTTTAAGTTTCAAGCAAATACCTTTTCTAGTTTCAGAAATATTCAAGTACATGTTAAAATTTTAGAATATTTTCTCAGTCAATTTTTGACCTTCAAGTGTAACCTTGACCTTAAGCCGGCAAAAGGGCAACACGGGTTCTGCACATACCCTTGTTGAGGTGAACATTTTAGCCAAGATTGAAGAAAATATTTCAATTAGTGTAGGACTTACAGAGCGGACACGACATACTGTCTAATATTTGATTGTTTAATATTTGACCTTCAATTGTGACCTTGACCTTGAGCTGACACATGGGCAACATAAGTTCTGCACATCCCCTTGTTGAGGTGAACATTTGAGCCAAGTTTGAAGAAAATATTTCAATTAGTGTAGGACTTACAGAGTGGACACGACATACTGTCTAATATTTGATTGTTTGATATTTTACCTTCAATTGTGACCTTGACCTTGAGATGACACATGAGCAACATGGGTTCTGCACATCCCCTTGTTGAGGTGAACATTTGAGCCAAGTTTGAAGAAAATCCTTCAATTGGTATAGGATTTATAGAGCGGACACAATAATGGAGACGGACGGATGGACGGACGGGACAAAGCGAATCCATTATAGCCCCCCCCCCCACATTTTGTGGTGGGGGTATAATAAGCTTATTGCTTCCGCCAATATCATACTAACATGTACATGTTAACTATACGTTATTTAAATCAAGATTAACTTACTTTGTTCCATTATATCTATCTATTACCCCAAGTTGATTAATATCATCAGCACCAGTATATACTGTATAAACACCATCATCTGTGTTGTTTTTCTGATAAAACAAAAAACATTAGTTTGCTAAAGATCAAAATTTGCATATTTGACCAGTACATTATTGAGATGTATTGTTGAGATCTTTTCCTTTTGAACCAATTAAGTCATTAAACAAACAAGTCATGATGGTCCAAAATCTTTCACCAGCAAACATTGTACATTGGTATAAGTTTTTAGAACACAAAGAGATATTTTACAGCAAATAGTACTTGTATTTACAGTACTAACATTAGAGCAGGTTTGTTTTTTTTAAATCCAAGCAAAAAAGTATTATTAACTTCTTCACATAACCTTTCAACAAATTCCTCTTACCGCAGTATAGCAATCCTAATTGAACTTTTTGTTGCAAGCTTGATGCAAGTGGATATTTTTATCATTAGACATTATGATGTCGCTAAACATATTAAAGATACAGAGACCATGATCGGGGGAAATAACAGTAGTCGCTAAAAACAAAAGTCACTTAATAAGTGGTCACATGGGTAAGTTAGTCTGAATGCAGAGACTGAATAGCTAACAGTACAGACCATGTGAAGACAGTTTGTTTGCACTGGTTGCATAGGTAAAATCAGTTGCCACCAGCACAGCCCAGCTGGATCACGGGGTTAAGATACTTACATTCATAAAGAAGCCAATGTAATCAGTATAGAACCAGTCAGGATCTATAACTTTAGTGACATTCAGTAATGGATCATGATAGCCCCAAATAACTTCTTCAAATGATCTAAACATTAATGGATGCTCATCAAATAACTGAGTCGCAGCATAAATAGCCTCCCGCACTTTATCATCCTCATACTTTAATGCATTATATAATGCCTGAAATACAGAAATGCAAGACAAACATACTTTGACTTTATAATAATTTATAAAGACAGTAAAGTGCTAATGTATTAAATTTCAGAATCAAATTCAATTTAGAGCCAACTGGCTAAACATAGCATATTAGAATTTCTCCAGAAATCCACTACAGCAAGGAGCAAGGGATATGAGGTCATCATAACCATAACCAGTCACATAGGCCTTGTTTTACCTGCTTTGAAGTAATGTGAGTTATACAATGATATATAAGTAATTGGTGTTTAATTTTGATAATCCTAGACATACAATGTTAAAAATCTATTCTATTTTCAACTTTGTTTATAATCAAATTGTACAATATCCTTTTTTCAATTAAAATCTGGAACTATTGTTGGAAAATCTTAAAACCAAGAAGTTAAAACTATAGTGCCAGATTGTGACAATGTCACTACACCATGACTTGCATGCTTAAAGGGAAAGACAAGGTTAGAATAGAAACTTGATTTCAGAAAAAGAATACTATAAATAATAAATCTGTAATTTTTCTGCTGCCAAATAATAATATTAAACGAATGATAACGAAATTTAAATCGCTAAATCACCGATTCCTACAAATCAGTTGGCGCGGCCATGTTTGTGTATTGGCCGTATAAAAACAGGTGCGCGTGATGTCATTTCCCCACATCTTTAGATTTATGATAAATCTAGTTGAATCGTAGCGAAATATTTATATAATAAAGTATTGACCAGACAATTTAATTTTCACAGGAGGTGTTGAGCAGATTTTTGTATGGTTCAAAATACGTAACAATATCAAAAATAAAAAATAAAAAATAAAGAAACAAATAAAAAATTACCGGTCGCACCACTTCAGGCCAGTGATGCTCGTTACTCCAAACAATGCTATGTTCATTAAAGTCTCGTCTTAATGTAATTAAACAATATTTCACAGAGTTAATAAATACACATGTTATTATTTAACAAAGTTTCACAATCAAATAATGCAATTAAATAAACAAATGCACCAACGAATAATTGGCTGTTAATTATTGAACGGCGATAATTATCATTATTATAAAAATCCTACTAAACGCGTTCTTAATAGTACATGTAATTAAATTTTTGCAGTTTGATTCTGACTTTCAAATTAAAAGGTGTGAACATATGTTAGTAGTGATGTACACATTTCAAAAATATAAGCAACTCTTTTGAAAAGTAAATTGTTAACATGTCTGTCAACGTATGATGCTGCGTGGTATTTATTTACATCGTAATCGTAGCCTAATATTAACTGCAGGCAAAACATTGTTATTGGCTGCTCAAAAATCTCATTTGCATAATTTATTCACACAGTTGCTGGTTCTTACTACTTATGTCTAATACTGTGCATTATCCATTTATTTAAGGGCCTTCGTGGCCGAGTGGTTAAAGTCGCTGACTTGAGATCACAGGTCCCTCACCGCTGTAGGTTCGATCCTCACTAGGGTCGAAATCTTTCATGTGAGGAAGCCATCCAGCTGGCTTACGGAAGGTCGGTGGTTCTACCCAGGTGCCCGCTCGTGCCTTAAATAATGCTCGAAGGGGCACCTGGGGTCTTCCTCCACCAATAAAGCTGGAAACAAATCGACGAAAAATCTCGGCGGGACGCTCTAGGATGGCCCGACTTGAGTGAACGGTCGCCCATATGGGCTTTCCGGCGGCGACCTTAAATAAACGCATTAAAAAAAAAAAAAATATCCATTTTAATTGTTCCTAATTTGCACCAAATGTTCATGTCACACTGTGTACTGACGATTTTTATTGCTCCTTGTATGCCTCTGTGCCGACAGACCTTTTGATCATGCACAATGTTGCCCTGATTGGTTCATCACCCTTGTCAAATATTCTAATGACAAAATAGACATCTATTTTTTTACGCTTCATCAGTGAACTGAATGACCCTAGGGGGAATTAAGTTCCGCACCTGTCAAGTTATACTGTAAATTACAGCATTTCATAAAATAGCAACACATTTTTTTTCAGTTACCAATAATCATTTTAAATATTAAGTAGATTTATGATTTTTTGTTTTATTGGATTAAATTTACGGCAGTAGAAATGCGTATCTGTGTGGGAAAGGGATTGGACAACGTGGAAAAAAGCTATAGGGAACTGGATAAACCCGAGAATATGCGTAAATACAGGGGAATGACTCAATGGTTTTGTTTTCATACGTTATTAGTCTAGCTGCCGATTTTCCTGCGCCATTTTATTTTTAGCGTCAATGTCGGAAAATCGCGTCCTCAGCAGATCTCTGCATATTGGATCTAGTTGATATTTTACGCTGAGAAAAAGATACATGACCGGCGATGTACCCTATTCGGACAGCTTGTCTAGCGAAAATTAAGTACAAAATAAAAGGATATATCGTCAATTTGAAGAAGTTTCTCAAAGTACCCAAATTAAATTGATGGTTTATCTTTGAAACCTAAGCAGTCATTGCTTAAATCATATGGTGGGATCATCAGCAAGCTTGAAAATCGGACAAATGATAATTAATGTTGCGGCGTCTTCAATTAATTAATTAAAGCAATTCAGTTCCATATGATGTTTTCATAAATAATAAATAATGTACGCAATAAGATTAATTAAGTTCTTCATCAAGATATATTTCAGTTGTACCAGCGTGTACACCTTTACCGGAAGTGGGTATAACACGTCACAATCTCGGTCTCGTCTGTCTCGCGAGAATGACAGAACGCCAAAATGGCGGCGCCCATGAACTTATTTCTCAAGTAAAAAATAGTGTCTTAAAACACGAATTTCTCACTTATAGGGTTGATGTCAACAGTAAAACTGTCATGGTACCTCTTTTTAAATGATGAATATTTATATTAGACAGACATCAATCCTTCCATTCCTATTCCTTTAACTGCTTACAACCAGCACTCAAAAACTTACATTGTAATAAGTATAACACTCACCCAGTAAACTGGATTAGGTGACAGGTACATGTCTGTCTCCTTATTCCCTTGTGACATCTCTGGTTCAAATGTAAAAACTCTCTTCTGTCTATATGAAACTGTTCCATTTTCATTGAAAACTATATCAAATTTTTCCCGCTTTTCACTGGATAAAAAAAAGAATGCTATATAGTAATATAGTAATAATATACTTCGGCTTAAAGAATATATTATTTACTGTGTTATTTAGTATACCAAAGACAATTTTTTTTTCATTTACTAAGGCTGTCAGTTATTTACAGTATAGTAAGACAAATTAAAAAAAACAAGTGTTAGTAATCCAAAAACTGTATAATAGGATATGTTTATGATAAAAGTATGTATAGAAAATTACATATATAAATTATGTCAATAATGCCTATTTCTTAAATTTCCTTGCAAAAAAAAAATATTAATTATTAAGTCCTACAGCTTACAAGTAGAGAATATCCTATTATCCATGTATTATCTTACAGCAATCGTACATGGGCATTTACATGATGAAAAATACACTTTACTTATGCATTTATTTGGGATTCAAGTTATATCAATACTTTCATGTTACTTTGGCAACAATTTTTTAAGAGCAACTCATAAGCTGTTTCTCAGTGCAATATATTAGGAAAAAGCAGATATTGGGTAGAACAACCAACCTCATGTACCTTCTGCAAAATAACTGAATAAATTTTTCACAATGAAACAAAAAATAAGATGCAATCTTAGGGTTGACAAACTACAAAGGTGTCTATGGAATAATTTGTGCCCCTTTCAATCCTAATCCCAGTACAATTAGGCCTCTTAAAACACCTCAAACACCTGAAAAAAAGAGTAAAAAGTTTTGCCTTAACCCCTGACCAAAGAGGCCCCTCAAAAATGTATTAAAGCTTAAAATTATACTTAAATGCTGAAAATTGTCAAAATGATATTACCTGTATGTGTATGGGCCTACTTGATTAAGACTAGGTTTCTGGCCATTAAGAAATTCCTCTTTATTTGTCAGATTAAACATGTATATCTGTAAATACACGGGTACTGGTGGGTCTTCCCAGTACTCATACACTGGCCCTCCCTTCCGGATCACTACAGTCTATATAAAGTAATAAAATATTAGTTATATATAGAGGATATTAAATGAGTGTAAGTTCAATACTGAATTTATTGAACGAGTTGAATAAAATTATATCATGTGAGCCTCTGGCGAGCATAATATTATTTTATTCAACTGGTTCAATAAATTCAGTAATGAACTTACACAAATTTAATATTCTATTTATCACATACATTGTACCCAAAATAAACACCGTTTAAGGTGAAAAGGAGTCATTTTTCATTGACCCGCCTTTAGTATAACGCTAATATTTAGCGTGTCTTTACACTATGTTTGTATAACGCTAATGACGTCACATCAAAATATATGCACGGCCGTGCAATACCATTTTTACGGAGTCGCAAAATCGACACAGGTGTGTGATAAAATATCTTATTTGATACATGCATCTTCTAGAAGGAACAAATTTACCCCAACTGTTAATAAATGAGAGTTATGGAGATCTTTTGTTATTGTTGGATTTTTAATGACCTTAAACACATCATTTAGAAATCATATTATATATATGTCAAATGAATTACACACATGAATATTCCAGGTAGGTTTTTGTTTTATGTTCAAAAAAATATATCATACTGCCATTTTAAGGAGTCTCAGCTTCAACTATTTAGCTGTGATTTTGTACACATATAAGGAAGTATACCAAAATAAATCATTCATACATGCATTTTAGAATTAATCTTTTTTTTTCCTTCAAAAATTCAAACAAAAATTTTGTAAACTGCAGGCAGTCTTGCAACTACATGTTCGTTTTTATTCCTGAGTGCAAAACAATGATGCTATAAGCACAATATTTATATTGACCATTGGTATGACCAGGGCAAATATTAAATTTAAAAGTATCCAGAGTCCAAGATGAGACAAGGTCAAAGAGAAAATTATTTTAAAGGCCTATAATGCCCCAGAAATGCTTTTTATTTTTACTTCTCAAAAGTGTACTTTCATAATTTCAAAACAGTTACATGTACACATTTTATCAATAACCTGAACCATCTTTTTGATCTGTTGCTTGATGGCATTTAGTACAATTATAGTGATTAATTACTTTGTATAGAAGTCAAAATACTATTTTTTTTACATTCTGCTACTTTTGTGACAAAATTATTTCACATTAAGTGCTACTTACTTTAGATAACACTCAACTAACATGCTCTAAAACCATTATTTTAATGTTATAAAAGCCATAAAAGTCATTCCAAAGAAATGAAAATTTTATTAATTTCTGAGAAGAAATGAAAATTTTACTAATTTCTGAGGCATAATGTGCCTTTAAACATATCTGATATGTATGTCCTACATGTACATACAAAATGGCCAGTGCAAAGTGAAAGAGGAAATAAGTTTAAACATATCCTACATGTATGTCCTTCTTACAAGAGTTATATTAGAACAAGAGCGATCAGTAATCACATGTGTCGCCTCATGATGGCCAATTTCATGTTGGGACAAATTTTGTGACAGACAGACAGACGGACAGTGCACAACTAGACTTGGTACTGATCATTCCTGTAAATTTTGGATTAAATTGCACCAGTAGTTTATGAGGAGTAGTCCGGACAAGCTTTTGCGTATCTGGCAACACACAGAAAAAAAGACCTTTTTATCAAAGGGCCATAACTCAGCCAAAAATCATTCAACCGGAAAACCCGTGCAATATGCGCAAGGACTTGAGCTACAGATCAATCCTGTAAAGTTTCATTGAAATTGCATAAGTGGTATAAGAGAAGTAGTCCGGACAAACTTTAAAAATAAAAATTATTAAAGGGCCATAACTCTGACAAAAATCATTGAACCGGAAAATGCTGACAATATGCACAACTAGACTTGGTACTGATCATTCCTGTAAAGTTTGGATGAAATTGCACCAGTAGTTTATGAGGAGTAGTCCGGACAAGCTTTTTTGTATCTGGCAACGACAGAAAAAACACCTTTTTGTCAAAGGGCCATAACTCGGCCAAAAATCATTCAACCGGAAAACCCGTGCAATATGCGCAAGGACTTGAGCTACAGATCAATCCTGTTAAGTTTCATTGAAATTGCATTAGTGGTATAAGAGAAGTAGTCCGGACAAACTTTAAAATTAAAAATTATTAAAGGGCCATAACTCTGACAAAAATCACTGAACCGGAAAATGCTGACAATATGCACAACTAGACTTGGTACTGATCATTCCTGTAAAGTTTGGATGAAATTGCACCAGTAGTTTATGAGCAGTAGTCCGGACAAGTTTTGTGACGGACGGACGGACAGACAGACAGACAGACGGACAGACAGACGACGGAGAAGTGATCCCTATATGTCGCCACTACTCCGTAGAGGCGACACAAAAATGGTCATAACAAATTCTTATAAATAATCATAATTGATACTTACATCTTGTACTTTTTTCTTGATGATAAATTCCATCAAAGGTATCATTACTATGCCAATTAAGGCCAGACCCCATCCAATAACATTGCCTACCACTATACGCTTCTTTGTTGACCAAACCATTTCTCCTTTTCACACTAAGGACAATAATATACATGTATGTCCAAGTTTCAAAGAAGATGTCTATAGAAAATATAACTTGCTTCAATCACAATCACAAACTACTGTATGTAGGGTCCATCAATGAGCAACCTGCAAAAAAATAATAATCAAAATTTATATCTGAAATTGGAACCTGTATTGCCAATAGATGTTTTTCGGAACTTGGCAAATGTTAGCTTTTCCAAGTTAATTTCCAGGTACAAACAAACTTTAAACAATAAATTAGTCAACCTGCGCATATTTTTGAAGCTGTAACTGTAAAAGTTGGTTTGTTTGTACCCCCCCACCCAATTAGCTTGGAAAAACCAAAAATATTCCTAATTCCGGGAGGTCATATGGCAAACTTCCAGCTTTATAGAAAGAGAAAGACCTCAGTTGCCCTGTGTGTATTATTTCAGGCACAAGCAAGCGGGTACCAGAGTAGAATCACTGATGTTCCGTAACCTAGCTGGATAGCTAAATCCTCACATAAAAGACTCAAAGTTCCTAGTGGGATTCAAACCTTCAGCGGTGAGGGGGCAAGCGGTTTGAAGTCAACGACCTTAATCACTCAGCCAGAGACACCCCAACCTTATCAAAGTCCATTGTTTTAGTCATATCTATAAGAAATAACAGTTTGAAATGTACAGAAAGCTATCCTGAATTTTCAATATAGTGTCAAACCTGTCACCTTTTTATGACCTAAATGCAAAATGCATCATAAAATATTCATGAACAAAGACAAAATAGATCTATTTCCTTTTTTTCTTAGCATAAATTCCCATGTTTTTCGTCTTCACTAGTAATAAATATATAATAATATATAACATACACTTCCACAAAATTTTTTTTATCAAAACATCTTCATCAAACTTTTTTTTTACTTATTTATGCAAAGATATATTAAATAATATTCAAATTAGTGCATGCAAACCTTTTACAACCAAAATATATATAGAGCAAATATACATTAATATATAATTATACAGTAATTATATATACACATAATTATCTTACCTAAAATAGGTTATCAATTATCATTATCAATTATCATTCTCATTTTCATAATAACATCCCTTTGAAACTGATATACAATTATCAGGTACATCTTTAACAATACTTGATGTGCAAGCTTGTACTATGATAAATATCTTATGATAATGTACTATACCATGTGATCAAAATAAACAACTGGGTTCACATATTGGGTGCATTGTTTTTTATGATATCTTCTGATAACATTATAAGTTAAATGTATTATACTAATTTACTTGGCCTTATTTATGAACATTAATCATAGCAAGTTAAAACCAAATGATTTACAGACTCTTAACTTTTTTAATCTTAACTTTTTTTGGGGTTGGGTTTTATGTCGCACCAACACAGTTTAGGTCATATGGCATTTTACAGCTTGACTGGTGTAGGAAGACCTCAGGTGCCCCTCTATGCATTATTTTAGGCATGAACAGAAACCTGAGTAAAACCACTGATGTTCATTAAGCTAGCTTCCTCACATGTACAAACCGAAGTCCATGTTGGGATTCAAACCCAATGACCGGTTTATGACCTGTACACACATTTTGTTGTTTTTGTTCATAAGACCTTTATGCAGAGCCAGGTTGTACTTAGAAAAGGTATTTCTGTACTGTCTCTTTCTGTATTTACTTTAGTCATGGCAAGTTTTTGTTTTGATAAAAAGGCCTGACTGGTATTTTAATTTCTGTTTATTAATCATCTTCCTTATCACTTTGACTATTCCTCTAGTGACTGGTCATTCTTTACATTTTGTGAAACTGTTCCTGTCTTGTTAACAATAAAAGCAAAGCTATACTTTACTTCCTGTCTGCAACAATAAAATAGTGTCAAACTTCAAATATCAACAATTACACACAATTTACACACAAATAAACTCAAGGTCAAGCTTTTTACAAGATTGAAGTTGTTTAAATCTACAATGTATTTTAATGTAAAGCCAGTGTCTTTTGTAATATCAATATTACATTGTATATGGAAATTTGGTGTATAGATGAATAAATATTTTCAACTAAAGATGCTAAATATCATGTCTGCAGATAATTTATCCATAGTTCTTATCTAGAACTCAGTAAATGTTTTTTTTTCCCCCAAGCTACATTGTAATCCACCTTCCCCAGCCTGTTACAAATGCTTAGTCTCACAACAGTGAACATATTCATTAAAATCCCACTATTCATGATGACTTGTCAATACTCACATATTCGTTTTCCTATCTGACCTTGGACATCTGGCAATGACCTTGACCAAAAGGCCCTGAAAATTGTAAACAACTCTATGCCTCACAATATAAAGTAGGCTGACTGTCTTTTTGCATATAATCATTCAATTCAAGACTAAAAAATTGTTTGTATACATTTTTTTTTATCTTACCATTGACCTATATGTGTGACCTCGACCTTGTCCAAAGGGACCCAAATTTTGAGTGCTGCACTCTTGTAAACATTTGTACCAAGTTAAATTAAAATCCCACTACATACGTAGAAGTTTTGCTCTTGACAAGGATATTTTTTTTATCTTTAAGTGTGACCTTCACTTTTGACTCGGAGTTCTGATTTATGCATGTGAGCATTTGTTACAAGTAATAATTAAATTGAGGCATTCATGTAGAAGATAATGCTGCCGACAAATTTTGGACATTTAATCATCCCTGGATAAGTCACAGGTGGCAGTATCAGTGTTTGGACACCCCACCCCTATCTGCCCCTGGACCCCTACTACAACCCTGAAAGAAAATTAATTCAACACTCTAAGGCTAACTATAAGGTATCAAATACAAACACTGATACTGCCACCTGTTGGATAAGTCTTATGATTGTGAATATTTTTAATATAATCCCACAATCCAAATTAACCAAAAAGGTGTTGAGTTGGACATGGGACAAGTTGACTTCAACGGATGAGTGAACTGGAAATCTGTGTGTATAGCCCAACACTCTGCCTTATAATGGTGAATATTTGAAACATATTACATTAAAATCATTCAATGCATGTACAAGTTGCTAAGGACAAATGTTTTTTTTCTTTGAACTCCAGAGTTTTACCTAAGCATATGTCTCATTTTATTTCAAAAATAGGGAAAAAGTTTAATTATGGCTTTTTTTCAAGGGCTCTTCCTTTAAATACGGGAAAATAACATTTTTTTCTGTTTGTGTTGGGAGGGGAAAAGGAAATAAACAGCCTCCTTACATGAAAGGATTCGAAATTTCCCCCCTACAATGACTTTTTGATAATATGCAATATACATGTATTATATTGATGCAAAGCAAAAGTTACATGAGCAAAACATTTTCATAAGCCATCAGTACACCCAAACTTTATCTTTGTCATATGTATGAAATAAAAATATATTTAGCTATTGGATATATCCCATGGTACACTACAATGAAGCCATAAAAATACCTGGGATACAACAACACAGAATCCTGTAAGTGACAGAACATTTTGCAAGACGCTCATGCTCAAAGACATACATGTGATGTTTCAAGTGGATTACTGCTGTGATTATGGGGATAAAATTAGATTGTGGAAAGGCATAGACGCATAGGACATTGGCAGAAGATTTTGAGCTTGGCTGAATCTCATTTCAATGCTTAAGATCCGAGATTTGTATTTGTATATAAAGGGTAGGTCCTACAACCACTAAATGTTGGAGTTAAACTTCTATTCGCAATCTATTCTGACTGAAACCATGGGTGTGTGAGACCCTAATTTGCATAGATAACTTGAATGGTAACGTCCCTTGCTGGCAACAACCACCCTTTTCAGGTCTAATCTCTGTCATTATTCATATTGTACATTTAGGTTCTTATTGACCATGACATGTCTGGTGTCAGTACTTGACAGTAAAAGCTGCTTTTAATGAGCCATAATGGGTGGATGGACCCTAATTACAAAGTATAAACTACTAGAATCCACTTGAGGTTTAATAGAGTTAAAGCAGTTACAATGCTGTACAAGTAAACAGGTCAGAAGCTTCAACTGAATATCTTCAACAGTTATAGAAATAGATCATGCACAGTTTTTTTCTTCAAAGATTATCAGTCGGGATAATTCAGTCAAAATTCATGCAAGACTTGAAGAGTTATTGAACTTTTTTTTGACAGTGGCTTACATTGTATAAATTATGCATGTGAAGAATACAATGGACAGAATCTACTTTAATGGACCCCAGAACTAAATGAGTGTGCATGTGCATTGTTGTTACTACACTTTTATTCTTTTTCTTAGTGTTATCAGGTACGTATGTTAATAGGAAGTGGCTAGCTGTACGGGGCCGTACGGCTAGCCCAAAGTTCTAGCCGTACCTGAGTCACGTACGGCTAGCCAGGACACACTGAATTGTCTAGCTGTACGGCACTTTTCAAAATTATATGAAAGTCGAAAATGCATATGTTATTTTATGTCTTTAAGTGCAGATTTTAACCAAGAAACATCAATTGTCGTTGTATGTTTACTTTGTAGAGATGAATCGCCATGTTGGCTACAGTAAAGAATGTACAAATACCAATCTTTGTCATCAAAAGAGTTAAGTTGCAGTTGATTAACATCAATTGAAATCGTATACATAACTACATGTATTATAATAATCCTTTTTTGTTTCAATAAGATCAATTTTCAACACCTTTAAAATGAAAAACAGCACCGAAAGTATTTATTGTTGAACTCTAATAATTGCTTCAATTACTGACATTTAAAGTTTGTCAATCAGTAAGAAAGTTTGCATGTTCCATGAGACGCATTTTTAATTTAGGCTAATTGATTTTGATTTTATGTTTGATATTTATTTATTTAAAAATAAAATTATACATATAAACACACGACACCAGGGTTCTAGTGAGAATTTATATATTTTTGAAATCGACGAAAACCAGCTTTTTTTGGCCGTTATATGATTATTTATTCCATGAGCTTTATTAACAATTAAATGATTTAATAACTCATCTTTCATAAAAATAAAAACAACAAATCACAAGCATTATCAAATTATCAAG